ATACTCTATATAGAAAACCCAAACAATTGCTAGAACTGATACATGAATTCAGTAAAGACATAGGATACAAAATCAACATACAGAAATCTGTTGCACTTCTATATACTAATAATGAAGCAGACAAAGAGAAATCAACCATATTTACAATTGCACCAAAAATCCTAAGATACATAGGAATAAACCTAACCAAAAAGGTAAAAGATCTGTATTCTGAAAACTAAAGAATTCTGATGAAAGAAATTAAAGATGACACAAAGAAGGGTAAAAGATTACATGCTCATAGATTGGAAGAACAAATATTGTAAAGATGTCTATCCAAAGCAATCTACACATTTAATGTAATCTCTATCAAAATACCACCAGCATTTTTCACAGAGCTAGAACAAATCTAAAATTTGTATGGAACCACAAAAGATCCAGAATAGCCAAAGCAATCTTTAAAAGGAAAAGCAAAGCTGGAGGCATCACAATTCTGGACTTCAAGTTATATAACAAAGCTGCAGTAATCAAGACAGTATGGTACTGGCACAAAAACAGACACATAGATCAATGGAACAGAATAGAAATCCCAGAAATGGACTCACAATGATATGGTCAAGTAATCTTCAACGAAGCAGGAAAGAATATCCAATGGGAAAAAGGCAGTGTCTCTAACAAAAGATGTTGGGAAAACTGGACAGCAACATGCAAAAAAAAAAAATGAACCTGGACCACTTTCTTACACACCATGTTCAGAAATAAATTCAAAATGGATGAAAAAATAAATCTCAAAATGTGAGCTAGGAAACCATCAAAATCCTAGAGGAGAATACAAGCAGTAACCTCTTTAACCCTGGTGGTAGCAAATTCTTACTAGATAAGTCTCCTGAGGCAAAGGAAACAAAAGCAAAAATAAACTATTGAGACTTCATCAAGATAAAAATCTGCACAGTGAAGGAAACAATCAACAAAACTAAAAGGCAGCCTCTGGAATGGAAGAAGATATTTGCAAGTAGGATATCTGATAAAGGGTTAGTATTCAAATTACATAAAGAATTTATAAAATTGAACACCCAAAAAACAAATAATTGAGTTAAAAAATAGGCAGATGACATATTTTTCCAAAGAAAATATATAGATAGCTAACAGACACATGAAAAGATGCTCAACATCACCCATCATCAGGTAAATACAGATCAAAACTACAATGAAATATTACTTCATACTGGTCAGAATGGCTAAAATTAACAACACAGAAAACAACAGGTGTTGGTGAGGTTGCAGGAAAGGGGACCCTCTTACACTGTTGGTAGGAATGCAAACTGGTGCAGCCACTGGGAAAACAGTAGGGAACTACCCTACAATGCAGCAATTTCACTACTAGGTATTTACACAAAAGATTAAAAATACTGGTTTGAAGGGACACATGGACCCTGATGCTTATACCAGCATTATTAACAATAGCCAAATTATGCAAAGAGCCCAAATGTACATCAACTGATGGGTGGATAAAGAAGGGATGATACACATACACACACACACTGGAATATTACTCAGCCATCAGAAAGAATGAAATCTTGCCATTTGCAATACCGTGGATAGAGCTAGAGAGTATTATGCTAAGTGAACTAAGACAACCAGAAAAAGACAAATACTATATGATTTCACTCATATATGTAATTTAAGAAACAAAACAGAAGAACCTATGAAAAAAAAAAGGAGAGAGAGACAAACCAGGAAACAGACTCAGCTATAGGGGACAAACAGGACAGAGGTGGGCAGGGGGATGGATTAAATGGGCAATGAGTTATGGAGGGCACTTGTAGTGATGAGCTCTGGTGTTGTATGAAAGTTATGAATCACTAAATTCTACACCTGAAACTAATATTACATTGTATGTTAACAGAAATTTAAATAAAAACTTGAAAAACAAAAGAAGCAAAAAACAAAAGAAACAAAAAAAGGTAGTGTATGTCTTCCACATTTGTTCTTTTTCAAGATTATTGGCTATTCTGGCTCTCTTGAATTTCCATGTCAGTTTAGGATTAGTTTGCCAATTTCTGCAAAATAGTTGTCAGGGATTTTCTTAAATTTTTTTTTATTTATTTATGACAGTCACACAGATAGAGAGGCAGAGACACAGGCAGAGGGAGAAGCAGGCTCCATGCACCGGGAGCCCAACGTGGGACTCGATCCCGGGTCTCCAGGATCGCGCCCTGGGCCAAAGGCAGGCGCTAAACCGCTGCGCCACCCAGAGACCCCATGTCAGGGATTTTCTTAGGGATCATGTTACATCTGTAGATCAATTTGGGAAATATTGCCATTATAACAATATTAAATCTTTCAGTATGCTAATGTAGAATATCTTTCCATTCATTTAGCTCTTCTATAAACCCTCTAGCAGTGTTTTGCAGTTTTTGGTGTACAAGTCTTGCACTTATTTTGTTAAATTTATTCCCAAGTATTTTGTTCTTGATAGTTTTCTCAATGACATTCTTGATTTCATTTTTGGAGCATTCATTGCTAGTACTTAGAAATTCTATTGATTTTTGTAAGCTGGCCTTTTATCCTGCAACCTTGATGTACTTGATTGGTTTTAGTAGATTTGTAGTAAATTTTAAGGTTTTCTACATATATAATTATCTTGTATTTAGAAATTCAATCTTTTAAAAATATTTTATTTATTTGAGAGAGTGAGAAAGAGAACCTGAGCAGGGGAAAGGCAGATGGAGAGGGAGAAGCACACTACCCGTGAGCAGGGAGCCTGACTCGGGGCTGTACCCAAGGACCCTGAGATCATGACGACCTGAGCTGAAGGCAGATGCTTAACCGACTGAGGCACCCAGAAACCTCGAAATTTCACATTCATAAAACTTTACTTCATGCTACTGGAAAATTTTAAAATTAGATTTAAATTTATGTACTTATTTATGATGCAGAGAAGTATGATAGGTGATCAATAAAAGACTTTCCAGAATAAAGAAATGGAAGTTATCAAATTGCCTGGTATTTAGGTATCCCTGGCTACATTTGAAAGGGTTATGTGACAGTTTTATTTTAAAATGTCAATTTACAATAAAACAATTTGCATCTTTTGCTACTATTTCAGATCAAAAATATATTTTTTTAAAGATTCTGTTTATTCATGAGAGACACAGAGAAAGGGGCACAGACACAGGCAGAAGGAGAACCAGGCTCCCTGCAAGGAGCCCCGAATCAGGGACTGGATCAGGGACTCCATCTCAGGACTTCAGGACCCCAGGATCACGACCAGAGCCAAAGGCAGATGCTCAACCTGTAAGCCATTCAGGTGTCCCCAGATTAAAATTTTTATGGTCAATATAAAAATGAGGGAAAAAGTCACATTTTTTTTCCAGAATTCTTTTAGAGAGTATAAGAAGAGAGAGCAAGATCATTTAAACCACTGTATTAACAAATACCTTCCTAACGGGTTTTTCTTTTTGGGATGAATGACGGTTACCTTTCTTAGATTCGGGGAAATTCCCCAGTGGCCCCTAACTTAAAAGCCTGACCCAGTGGTCATCCAACAATCCTCATCATTAATTAATTCAACTGAGGTAAATAATTCATCTGCAATTAAGTCACTGCCATCCCTCAAGCCACTTAGCTATTTGTAAATATATAAAAATCTTCAAAGGCAAGTCTACTGAAGAATATAAGATCTATCCTCTACTGTATTTCAGTGATTTTAAAGAAGGGGAGAGGGATCCCTGGGTGGCGCAGCGGTTTGGCGCCTGCCTTTGGCCCAGGGCGCGATCCTGGAGACCCGGGATCGAATCCCACGTCGGGCTCCCGGTGCATGGAGCCTGCTTCTCCCTCTGCCTATGTCTCTGCCTCTCTCTCTCTCTCTCTCCCTGTGTGACTATCATAAATAAATTAAAAAAAAATAAATAAAGAAGGGGAGAGGGATCCCTGGGTGGCGCAGCGGTTTGGCGCCTGCCTTTGGCCCAGGGCGCGATCCTGGAGACCCGGGATCGAATCCCACGTCGGGCTCCCGGTGCATGGAGCCTGCTTCTCCCTCTGCCTGTGTCTCTGCCTCTCTCTCTCTCTCTCTCTCTCTCTCTCTCTCTCTGCGACTATCATAAATTAAAAAAAAAAAAAAAAAAGAAGGGGAGAAATGTCGGGTACGCTCACTTTGGTGCCTCAGTCCTAGATGGTCTTAGCGGAGCTGCTATCTACCGAGTCAGGAATCCAACTTCCCGTACAGCTACACGGACTTCCCGCGCGCGCGCGTGTACTCACACACGGAGCCGCGCCCGAGATTTTTACTAAGCAGCGTACGTGGGCTTTTGAAGGTGACTGCCTTAGACCGCGCTAGAAACAAAGATTAGGTTCCAGAAGAGTCGAGCAGATCGGCCTTTGTTCTCCCCCCACGCGCAGCGTCCAGGGCTCCCTCTAGCCGTGACGCTCCCGCCGCCCACCCCGCTCGCAGCCCCTGCAGCAGCCCTCGTGCCACCGGGGAGACAGATACTGCGCAAGCGCGAGGGGCGACGACGTGGCCGCCCAGGCCGGGGTCGGGGGGCCGCCGGAGCGCCGTTCACGGCCTTCTCTGGGGGGCTTCCGCCCTCGTCCTATCCTCCCCACGGGTTCACCTTGACTCCCGGCATCGGAGCTGACCGCTTCGCACACACCACCTCCAAGTCAGAGTGGGAAGGACGCGGGCTGGGCGGGCCGGGGGGAGGCGCCCGCGGGGGCGTCGCGTGAGAGCTGACCCGCGGGTTCCCGAGGCGGGAGCGAGGGCTGGGGGCGGGGCGGCCGCGTGACGTGGCGCGCTCTGGAGCGCGCGGCTTGGAATGCTTTGTGAGGCGCGGCGTGCGGCCGCGCGCGCGCGCGAGCGGGGCGCTCAGAACCTCGGGACCGCCGCGGCCCGGTGCTCCGTTGCGGCTCCGCGTCCGAGCGAGTAGGTGTGTGGGCCGCGGCAGCCGGGCGGGGAGCTCTTCAAGTGGCGCCGAAGCGCCCGAAGCCTGGAAAGCGCAGGTGGGGCGGCGGCCGGCGGCGAAGATTTAGGCCTGGCGTGGGCCCCGAGGCGGGCGGGTCGCGGGAGCGCCCCGGGTCCCCGCGGCCAGGCCAGACGGGGGGAGGGGCAGGAGAGGAGAGGGAAGGCCCGGAGCCCTCGTCCAGGCACCAGACAGGACACTTCCGTGGAAGGGAGCAGTTTCGAGAGACTCGTTTGATAAGTTGTTCTCTCAGGCCCCGCCTTATATTTACGGGACCGTGGACCTCCGCGCGCCCCGTGACCGCGTCGGTTTGGAGGCGCTGCGCCCACTGCCGCCCTCAGATCCTGCTCTTGGAACATCCCTGTTGACCGGTCTTGCTGCCTCCTACGCGTTGTTTACTGGGCTTTGAAAATGGCTGTGGTCATCCGCCCTTTCCTAGCACTTGAGGCTTCGTGAAAGTTGGGTGATCTTTACAGAATGCCAGCAGCCAACAGCAGTTGAATCGGGAAAGCACAGCGCACGGTTTTGCTCTTTGGAGGCCATGCTCGCGTTCCTCGGGGCTTGAGCACTGCAGAGGCGCTCCCTCTGATGTGCGCGTCCCGAAAAAGTTTCGCTTGGAACGTGCACTGTTCCGTGACGCGGCACTACTGCGTTACGGTCGGGTTGGCCCAGTTTTCCACTGATTAATGAATTGCTCTACTCTGTCCCTGAAGGATCTTCGGAATTTAATTTATTGCATCATAATTTAATGGATATACGTTCAAGATTGTTGCTGCTTCTGAATACTGCTTTAAATATTTAAGAATTCAGTACGTTTTATTTTTTTTGTTTTCGTTTTTGTTTTTTTATTTCCGGAAGCAAAACGAAGAAAGTAGGGGAATGTAAAAATGTCCCCAGTTAGGAATGGAGCTATTTTTTTTTTTTTATTACTCTCCTTTGCAGTCACACCCCATTTGGTGATTTTACAGGAAACCTGTTTGAAACAGGAAGGTTTTATGTTCGTTCTTACCTGTGGGGCTTTCTGAAACGTCATTTGTATTGTTCCTCTGAAAAGAATGCGTAGGATGTTATCGGAGGGAGTTGCATGCAGATATTTGTAAAAGTTCCCTCTTCATTTTTTGTAAAGAGGCAGGGTAAGAGGGCACTAGAGCCCTTTCTGTATTAGGGACTACTTGTGATACTGACCTTTAGCTTGATTATTACTGTCTTTAGGGTTTATGGGATTGAACTAAATTGTCAGATGTTTGATTCAGAATTTTTACCTTTTCTCCTGAGGTCATTTTTTTTTAAAGCTTATATATACGCGCGCACACACATACACACATAGTTATGTCCGAAACAAACATGTTTTACTTCTTGTATTAGAACATTTAAGACATGCACCATTTGTATCTGGAAGTAGATTTTGGTTTTGTTGTGTTTTGTTTTTTTTTTTTTAAGATTTTATTTATTCCTGAGAGACACCGAGAGAGGCAGAGACATAGGCAGAGGGAGAAGCAGGCTCCCTGCAAGGAGCCCGCTAGATGGGGGACTTGCCCCCTGACCTCGCGCCCCCCCCCCCCCCCCCGCAAACCACTGAGCCACCCAGGCATCCCTGGTTCTTGTTTTAAGACAATTATACTGGTGTGGGTGCTGTTTTATGTAGTACTACAGATTGACATTTCAAAATTTTCTGTTCTCAACTTTAAAGATGAAAGTATGTGAAGGCGCAGTCCCTTAAGCTGCTCTCAGTTTCAGATCAGGTGGTGGTGAGATAGAGCCTGGCGTTCCACACTCAGTGGAGTCTGCTGAAGACCCTCTCTTCTCCCCCTCCCATAAATCAATCCTTAAAAGAAATTTAAAAAATAAAAATTAAAGTATGTGAAATCATGTAATAATAACTTTTTTCAAGCCACTTGATAAGCTTTTAATTGTGATTAGGGATCTGACATATTTTAATTTTTTAAAATACTATTCTGAAGTTCTTAACTCTGTGAAATGCATTTTCACAGAGACTACTGAGAATATATCAAATCCTGGAAGATCTCAGAAATACAGTATTTTAGTACAAAATTTACTTTTTGTGCAGAAATTATCAACGACATTTCACCTGATAGATTTACAGGTTTTTTCCCCGGCTAAACTTTTTTTCTTCCAAGACGGAGATGCCAGCAAGAAATGCTGTTCAGCGACTGACCCATGGAATTACACCACCATCACCACTGACCCTGCTCCTCACACTTGACTTTTCAGTGGCCATCCCATTACCTCCAGTGTGACACATTATTTCAAGAAATCTTTGAGCATACTATGTAACATAAGCTTTGAAATGTAGGTAGACACAAGATAAGGTGTTGAACACCTTTTACTGTGCCATTTAAAGATTCTCTTTTGTGAAGTACCTGTCCTGTTTTTTTTTTTTTTTTTTCACATTAACAAGAATGAGAGGTTATGCCTTTCTATCTTGCTAGAATTATTTTAATGGAGTTTTGGGAGAGAATAGGGCTAACTGCGTGTGAGTAACTGCCACCTTTAAGTGGAAGGAGGTAACTTTAAAGCTTCATCTAGATATTTTTTCTCATTTGTGTCCTCTCCAATGTGTGATTCAACCTCATTTTTTAAAAAAGATTTATTTATTTATTTGAGAGAGAGTATGTGAGCACAAGCATGAGGGGCAAAGAGAGTGGAAGAGAGAATCCAAAGTAGACTCCTTGCTCAGCCTGGAGCCAACGTATGGCTCAATCTCATGACCCTGAGATCATGACCTGAGCTGAAACCAAGAGTCAAATGATTAACCAACTGTGCCACCTAGGTGCCCTCAACCTCATTTTTAATTAGCTGGATAAAATCTGGATTTATATTATAATGAGTTTTAGAATGAGACTCTTTGTTTCCAACGTTAGATACATGGTAGGAAACATTTATTTATTTTAAAGACTTTATTTATTTATTGAGAGAGAAACATGCACATGAGCAGAGGCAGAGAGAAAGGAAGAAGCAGACTCCCTGTTGAGCAGGGAGCCCAATGCAAGGCTCAATCACAAGACCCTGAGATCATGACCTGAGCTGAAGGCAGATGCTTAACCAACTAAGCCGCCCAGAAACTTTTATTATAAGAAACTGTAACAAGAAAATTATTCAGTAAACATATTTTGACTTATTCTCTTCTGTTTTTGATTTAAAAGATATTTAGAAATAAGAGCATTATATATCTATTCAACAAATACAATGGAGTGCATTCTTCATGTCAGATCTAATAATAGATTAGGGAATACAGTAGTAAACGGGACAGACCAGCAAAGGCCCCTGTCCCTTTGAAATATATTTAGGTAGGAGAAATTGATAATAATTCAGTAAACAAATAGTTAAATTAGATAATTAAAGATAATATTTTCTGTTTGGCAGAAATGGAGCAAGAGCCACAAAATGGAGAACCTGCTGAAATTAAGATCATCAAGGAAGCATACAAGAAAGCCTTTTTATTTGTTAATAAAGGACTGAATACAGATGAATTAGGTCAGAAGGAAGAAGCAAAGAGCTACTATAAGCAAGGAATAGGACATCTGCTCAGAGGAATCAGCATATCATCAACAGAGCCTGAACACATAGGTCCTGGGTGGGAATCTGCTAGACAGATGCAACAGAAAATGAAAGAAACACTACAGAATGTACGTACCAGGTTGGAAATTCTGGAGAAGGGTCTTGCCACTTCTCTACGGAATGATCTTCAGGAGGTGCCCAAGTTATATCCAGAATTTCCACCTAAAGACATGTCTGAAAAGTCACCAGAGCCTCAGTCCTTTAGTTCACCTCACCAGCATGCTGAAGTAAATGGAAACACTTCAACGACAAGCACAGGGTTGGTTCCTGCACCTAGTTCTTTATCCATACCATCTCAAAGTCATCCAGCAGAAGCACCTCCTGCTTATACACCTCAGGCTGCTGAGGGCCACTACACTGTATCCTATGGAACAGAATCTGGGGAATTTTCGTCAGTTGGAGAAGACTTTTACAGGAATCATTCCCAGCCACCTCCTCTTGAAACCTTAGGGCTAGATGCAGATGAGTTGATTTTGATACCAAATGGAGTACAGATTTTTTTTGTAAATCCTGCAGGGGAGGTTAGTGCACCTTCATATCCAGGGTACCTTCGAATTGTGAGGTTCTTGGATAATTCTCTTGATACTGTTCTAAACCGTCCTCCTGGGTTTCTTCAGGTAAGCCAGAGAAAAATGTAAACATAATTTGAAATATAGATAGAATACATTATTTTTGTTTGTCAATATTTATTATGTGTCCAGGACATCAAGTGGAAAAAAGATCATTCTTCCTTTTTAACATATCCTGTGAAATTTATGAGCTTTAAATGTTTGCATGTTTGATAACTTTTTTTTTTAGATACAGAATTGTGTTTTAGTATTAAAATTATGATGACAAGACCTGAGGGGAATTGGAGCATTCATCCTTAAAATTTCAAATTCTTTATTGGAGGAGAAACTTAATAACTTCAATTTCAGAGGGATTTACGTAACTCATTTGGATGTGTAACTAAATTTCCACAAATGTTGTCAAGCCGCATCTGAGGGGTTGATCTGGACTAGACCCAGCCGAATATACAGAATGGTGAATATACAGAATGGCGGTTCTCAACCTGGGGTGATACCTGCCACTCTCCAGCCCAAGAACATTTTGACAATGTCTGCAGATGTTTTTGGTTGTCACAGCTGGGGAGTGGTTGTGCTACTGCTACTGGCATATAGTAGATAGAAGCCAGGGGGTACTGCTGAACATCTAAACAGGATCACTTCTGTCAATTAAAAAATGATCTAACCCCAAATGTTAACCATGCAGAGGCTGAGACACTTTGGTATAGAAGTAGAGACTGTGATGATAATTTAAGGTGTATTTCTAACATTCCAAGCAGAAAAATTTACCAGAATGCCCTTGGTGGTCCAGTAGTAAAGACTGATGCTAAGTAACAACTGGTGTTGTTAGGGCATTGTTGTAGAATTAATGAACTATTTTGAAAGTAATGTTGTAATAATCTTTTTAAAAGTTGGACATCAGTACAGGGATTTGGGTTCTAGCAGTGAGGACTCCATTTACACTGGGTGTAACAGGCATTTGCATATATGTAGAAGTAACTACTTGAGCAACTTAGTATACTTTACTTTTCAATTCTTACGTAGCTTTTATGTGGAGTCAACTTGAAAGTTGTTCAAAGGTAGTTGGAGACATAATAGGTGTGTATGGAGGAGATAATTTGGGGCATTGCTAAAAAAAAGACTCCATTTTTGGATAGGAAGAATATTATGGATCCTGTAGGTTATTTTAGGAAAGAATCCTTGAGGTAGAAAGAGTAGGCATATTGATTGGGATTGTGAAGAGGCTGATTTTGATAAAAGCTGTAATATTTTCTGCTGACCTGGTAATAGAGCTCTGTTTTAACGATGGAATTTAAAACCAGGGTGTGGTGGGGTGCTGAGTGGCTCAGTCAGTTAAGTGTCAGACTGATTTCATCGCAGGTCATGATCTCAGGGTTGTGATACTGAGCCACGCTCTGCGCTAGGCATGACACCTGCTTAAGATTCTCTTTCTCCCTCTCCCCTCACCCCCCAAAACAAACATACATATAATAAACACAATAAAATACAGTAAAAAATAAAAAGCCTTTAGGGCCCAGGCTACTGGAGATATGGGAAATGAATATCAGAAACACTCTACTTTGGTTGCATGAGCTCAACCATTAAAATGACTTGTTCTCTAGTAAAAATTTGTCCTGTTTGAGTGCTTGAGATGAAAATGTTTTTATTCTTTCTAATATCTCCTATTTTTGGTTATAAATCATGAGTAAAATTGTACCCCAAATCAAGAGTCAAATATCTAACCAACTGAATCACCCAGGTGACCCTGTGAATGCTGGGTTTGTAATGAAAAGAATTGTTTGGCTTCTCTGGTGCCAGATAGCTTGTGTCTAAATCCTAGCTCCACTTTTTTTCATAGACTCGGAGCAATTTAACCTCTCTGCCTCAGTTTTCTCATACGTAGAATGACAATATCTAACTTTATGGAATTGTCGTAAGGATTAAATCAATAAATACATGTACTTAAAAACAGGTTGATTTTAGTTATTTTCACAAAAGCATGTCTAATTTGAATTATAAAAAAGTCTTAATGTACTTTGTTGTTTATTTAAAACTAGACTCATTGTTGATTATGTGTAGGCTATTTAAGGTCACTAATTTCGAGACTATAATTAGAGAAGCAATGACATTTTTAGGACAGTTCTTGTGAGTGAGTGATATGCATAAAGAGACTGGCAAATAGCTAATTTTTAGTGAGGATTTGTTGATGCTAATGATTCTATAAAGCTTGTAAAATGCATTTAGAATTTTGAAATGTTGATTTTCTGTATAACAATTCTAAAACTTCAATGAAAACCTAGTTCTATTCATTGATTTTTTTTTTTCCTAACTAATCCCTTCAGGTTTGTGACTGGTTATATCCTCTAGTTCCTGATAGATCTCCAGTTCTTAAATGTACTGTGGGGGCCTACATGTTTCCTGATACCATGTTACAAGCATCAGGATGTTTTGTGGGGGTCGTCTTGTCTTCTGAATTACCAGAAGATGATAGAGAACTCTTTGAGGATTTACTAAGACAGATGTCTGACCTTCGGCTTCAGGTAACTTGTATCATCCTTTTAGCACTGACACTTTTAAAGAAATTGTAAGAGGGTCTAATGTGATCAAAGTTAGGAAACTGGGAATATATAATTTGCTTGTGTGTTCACAAATACTAGTTAGAAATTGGTAGTAAATAGAATTAAGATTATGGGCTCTGGGGTCAGATTACCTGGATTTGAATTTGAACTCTTCCTCTTTACAGCTGTTTTGCTCAAGTTATTGCTTTTTAGTTTCCGTATCATAAAATAGGAAAATATCATCCACCTCATTGGACTGTGGTGAAGATTAAAGTTAATATATTAACTGTCTTATATCAGTGCTGGCAAGTAGTAATGTTCTGTGAATGTTAACTATTGCTATCACCACAGCCTTCCTGCTTAGTTGGAAAAATAGCCTAATGGGACTAAATGGTGAAGTTTAGGTAATTTTGACATTAGCAGATGGGATATGTTGGACATTTTGGGGGTATGATTGGCATTTTGAGGAAGAAACAGGTTTTATTTTAGGGAGTCTTTGTTCTCGTGATAAAGCTAAATAGAAAATAAAGTGAAATTAAAAATATGAATTTGCCTTATTAAGCCTGTTTTTTTTCTGCCCACATGTTGATCTCTCATGGGGAGTTGAAATATATAGACTATTAAGGAGAAGCTTTCATCAGGTATTCTTGCCCATCCTAATGTAAAAGAAGGGGGGAAGAATATTTTTGATTGTGAATATTGACAGTTTTCTGAAGTTGAGATTGACAGAATGATAGTATATTTTATTCTCTACTTCAGTCAATGTATATTTAGGATCCATTATTTAGGTATTGTACTAAATGATGGATGAGAATATAGAACAAGAGACTGACTATGAAGATGCTATTTAACAGGTCCTATTCTCAGGCACTTGTAGTTGGCTGAATAATCATAGTACAGGATGATGATAGATGATGAAATAAAAGTATACACACAGTTCAGGAAGGAGATCAGGGAAGATTTCAGAAAATAGTTTCCTTTGAGTTCAGTCTTGAAAGCTATGTTCTTCTTTTCTCAGGAAGTGTAGAGTACACTTTCATTCTGTACTTATATCAGAAAGATCACAGGTGACGGGAGCAGACTACTAGCTAAGTAAAAGGTCAGAGTCATCTCTAGCATTAGGTTGTATAAACTATATACGGGAATGACCTGGTGATCAGCATATACTTTAGCATAGTCAGTGCTAAACATTTAAGCTATGGTAACAAAACGTATGGTATCCTTACAGAAGGGTATGTAGCCTCAGTGTGCTCATAGAGAGTGAGTAGTTGACAAAGGCAGAAACATGGTCAAATGGATAGGAGTTCGCGACTTAGCTTTGCTGTTTACTAGCTGAATGAAGTGACATCCTTAATTATTTCAGACCTATTATGGAGCAGTTCCTTCTTTTCACCCCTATATTTATTGGACCTATAATACTGGGTTTTAGGATAGAAATTAAACTTTTAGGTAGTATGTTTACTTTTTGGTTGTATGGCATTTTTAGTTTGCTCTGTTGTCCCAGAACTCCCAACTAAACAAAAGTTAGTTACTAGCTGTGATTTTGACTTGTCTTTACTCTTAAATATTCATTCAGCAAAGTATTTGCAAGCAGAATACCTTCAGTATTCAAGTGCAAAAACAAACATAAAACAAAATCAGTCTTCCAACAATGCAGAGTGGTTAAACTGGACGTAAGTTTTGTTACTGCCTTTAAACTCATTTAGTATTATATGTATGTGTTTCTTAAAATTTACCATATGTTATTTAATTAAATTCAAATGTAGCTACATCTGGCTTAATGATAACTTAAACCAACAATTGCTGTAAATTTATTTTTTATGCTTTTTCTTTAGAAATTTGGCTTAGGCCATTTGCTGTGAACTAAAGAACTCAAGGGGTTGAGGTTTGGTGATAAGATAAACACAAAAGTATAGAGAAAAGACCAGCAAAAGTGGTTGTATTTATAGACTTTCAAACACATCAGTGTTTGAACAAGCACGTTACTAGAGTGCAGCTTAGAAAAAATTCAAATTTGATCTAAGGTTTAGTCTACCCCCTAGGCCAACTGGAACCGGGCAGAAGGAGAAAATGAATTCCAAATTCCTGGAAGAGCAAGATGCTCCTCTGACCAATTGAAGGAAGCCAGTGGCACTGATGTGAGACATTTGGGTCCTTCATTGGACCAAGACAATAAGGACATGCGTCATAAAGGAAAACGGGGGAAAAAAGTAAGTAAAATAAGAAACAAAGCAATAAGGTATGTGTGTATATTCTATTCTAATGGTGCCTTTCACCAGTTTCAATTATTTATAAGATCTTATCCCTGTTTACTAAAGCAGAGCAACTTGCATAGTCACAAAGTGATCGCTGGAAAAAATAATTAGAATCAGCTTTAATATTTTCCTTTTCAGTGTTTGTTACTTAAACTCTTTTAAAACATATTTTGTGTTTTGAGGGCTAGATTTTTATGAAGTATTTGAAAGATTTTTGTATTTATGTTAATGCATATTTTTTTGTTTTGTTTTGTGTTGTTTTCTACCTTCTTGTATACAGCAGGATCTTGGGGCCAGGTGCGCTTTTCCTTACACTACCATTTTTATTCAGTCCCTTTCTTTATGGATGGTCATCAGGAAAGAGAATGATTTTTTTAAAAATACATTTAGTAGTGGGGTGCCTGGGTGGCACAGTCAGTTGAACATCCAACTCTTGTTTTTGGCTCAGGTCTAGATCTTGGGGTCCTGGGATTAAGCCCCACATCTCGCTTTGTGCTAAGCAGGGAGTCTTCTTGGGACTCTCTCCCCCTCTCTGTCTATACCTCCTCCCTGAGCTCGTATGTGCATGCTCACTCTCTCCCTGATAAATAGATTTTTTAAAAAATACATGTTTAGTGGCTTTTTTCTTTTATTTTTTAGATCTTGAGTATATGATACGCTCTAGATGGTAAATTCGGAATACAGTTCAGTAAGTATTTAATTAGTGCTAGAATGCTGAACATAGTGGAAAAGTTAAATTTCTTATCTCAAGGAATTTATTGTTTAATGGGGAGGACAGATTAGCAAAGAAAATTTCTATCCGGTGTGATCATTAGATGAAGGCACATAGGTTGTATAGTATGCTAGATTGTACCATTAATGTACAACCTAGCCTCATCGATAATGTGGGCCTATTGTGGTGTGGTAACCAGTAAGGAAGGCTTCTGAGAGGGCATTTGCCTAAGATCAGTCCTGAGGATGAAGCAAGAGTTGGCCATACATACAACAGGTTAAAGGAGATTCTAGGTAGAAGTAGTAAAATAAGCAAATGTATGAAGAAAGAAATAGCATTGTGTGAGTATTGAATTACGGTTTTCTATTCATTGTTGTATTCCATATTGTAAGTGCTCAATAATTATCTTAGAAATTAATTCATGCCACTTGAATATTCTACATTTTTAAAAAGATGCTATTTACTTGATAGGGGGAGAGAGTGTGTGCACAAGCTGGGGGAAAGGAGGAAGAGAAGGAGAAGCAGATTCCCTGCTGAGCCAGGGGACCCTAGGATCACCATCTGAGCCGAAGGCAGACGCTTAACCGACTGAGCCACTCAGGCATCCCTTGAATATTCTACATTTATTTGTGTTGAACATCTTAGATCAGATTTATGAGGACTTTGGGAGCCCAAGATGGCTCCAAGAAATGTATTTGTTTAAAAAAATTTTTAAGTTAATGCACAAAAAGCAAATCAAAAAGATACTTAGTGAAAAGTAAGTCAGCTTCCCATTCTGCTGTCCATCAACCACCTAAATTCCCTGCTGCAGACACATTATTGCTAGCTTCTTATCCTTGCAGATACATTCCAACATATATACATGTTTATTTTGTGTGTGGATATAAATGTATATTCACACTTACATACAATTATTAATACAAATGGCAGCATGAGAGACATACTGTTTTGCTCCTTATTTTTTTGCTTAACAGTATATTTGGAAATTTTTCATATCATTTAAAACCTCTATTTTTTAAAAATTTAAGTTGTTAACTAAAAAAATCAAATTGTATAAATAGGCATATACATTTTAAAACTTTACTCCCACCTTTTTACCATTTTCCTTGTCACTGTAGGTAATCACTTTTTATCAGGATCTTGTGTTTCTTCTGTGGGTTTCTTGAGGCATGTAAAAAGCAAATAACAGATTTCTCCCCCTTTTCTTATATAGAAGGTAGTATCATAGAGTGTCCTGTATTTTTTTTATTTGATAATAGAGTCTGGGGGATCTTTCAGTGTTTTTTTTTTAAAGATTTTATTTATTTATTCATTAGAGACACACAGAGAGAGAGGCAGAGAGAGACCCAGGCAGAGGGAGAAGCAGGCTCCATGCAGGGAGCCTGACGTGGGGCTCGATCCCAGGACTCCAGGATCACACCCTGAGCCAAAGGCAGACGCTCAACTGCTGAGCCACCCAGGCATCCCAATCTTTCAGTGTTAAATGGAGAATCCTCTCAAATCTTTTTTTATAGCTACCTCGTATTTTACTGTATGAATTTATAGTAGATTTCTTTAACCAATCTCTTATTGAGTATTGGAATGATTTTAGGTGTTTACTATTAGAAACAGTGCTTCAGTGAGTAACTTTGTAGATAGATGCATTGATTCATACATTCCCAGGTAATTCATCAGATAAATTCTTAGAAGTGGGGTTACTGAGTCAATAAGTAAAAGCATTTGTATTTTTGATAGATTTTGCTACATTGCTTCCCTAAGGACTATACTCTTCAGCACTCCCACCAGCAGTGTAGGAGACCTATTTCTTCATAGCCTAGTTCACAGAGTGGGCGATAAGCCTTTCTGTATTTTTGACAGTCTGATAGATGAGAAATGATATATTGGAATATCTTAATTTGCATTGATTTTTTATTGTGAATAATATTGTATGTCTGCTAAGGTTTCCATGAATTTTGTTTTCTGTGTGACGTCTGTTCCTGTCCTTTGTGCGTTTTTAATTACTGGGTTGCTAATCTTTTCTTCTCATTTTCCAGGGACTCTTTATATATTAGGACATTGGCTCATTATTAAAGATAGAAGTTGCTAATATTATGTTGTTTGTCTTTGGGTTTTACTTATGAATGGCTTCCCCTCCTCCATATAGAAGTTTTTATTTTGTTTTTAATATTGTTTTATATTTTATGTGACGTTCTCTTTGTATTTTTATTGGGCAGTTTGATTTTCAATTAATTTTATAGTATGATGTCTGAGTTAGCCTGCTGTTCTTAAAATGAATAAATTTAGTTTTGACATTTTGAGTGTTGACCCTAGGCCTCATAATAGCTGTTAAATTAGCAAAAAATATTGGTATTTCTGTGTTCCCCATTTCCACTTAGATGGCTTTTACTTGATTTCTATCAAAAACTAGTTTATTTGGATACATCCTTCCTTACTGATTGAGTCATTTAACAAATCTTCTAAATCTTATTGAGTATCCTGTGCATACTGTCATCAAGGAGGGATTGATAGGTTTATGAAGGAACTCATAGTCTCATCAATTTAAATATGATTTGATAAATGCTCTATTGGAGATATGTTGTTATTTAAATCTTACTTACCAGGGAGACCTTATATAAGTTTTAAGCTTTATGGCCATTAAAAAAAGAAAGAAAGAAAGAAAAAACAGCATTTTGTGAGTATTAAATTACAAAAATGTTTTTATTGTTCATTGCTGTATTCCATATTGTAAGTGCTTGGTAATTAGGAATTAATTCATAACACAGGAATATCATAACTGTTTCTCAGCCACCTACCTGACTTAGGAGAATATACTTTATAACATAAAATACTTTATGGCAGTTGTGGTATTTTGCTTTATGTTATAAGATACACTGGTAACTATGTTGGCTAGAGATATTTTTATTAATTATATATAGTATTTGTTGGCTTGATAATTTATTACATAATGCTTATAATTTTTCCTCTTTATTTTACATTTTGAAACATATTTACTAGGCCAAAGACACTTCAAGTGAAGAAGTTAATCTGAGTCACATTGTACCCTATGAGCCAGTTTCAGAAGAAAAAGCAAAGGAATTACCTGAATGGAGTGAGAAAGTGGCTCAAAATATTTTGTCAGGTATTACAGTAATGTTAATTTTTTTTCTCTGTAATGTGAAATCTTTGGAATCTGTAAGAATATTTAGAAAGATAATATTTTGTATTTTGCTTCCAAATCATCTTTTAATAAATACTTAAACAAAAACAAAAGGAACTAATTTTTTAGAACATTACATATTATCATAAAGGCATAAGTTCTTCTTGCCTATTTTCTGTTTCACTCTTGGGGAAAATTGATAGTGAAAAGCTTTGGGAATCCTACAACTCTCCGAATAGCTCTTCTGAACATAAAATGATTTTCCTTTCCCCTTTGAAGTTCACCTTTAATCCTTTTCTTTTCTCCATTTCTCTTCCTTCCTCTTTCTCTAAAAAAAAATGGTAAGATACTCATCCATCTTTAGAAGCAAAGCAGCACTCCCTAACTACACAGCAATTGAGGTATGAAGAGATCTAGAATTATAGCTAAGCTATTTGGGATGTAGGCCCTACTATTTAATTCTGGTTAGAGAGGGCATCAGATCAGTTATTTTAAAACCGGAATGATCATTACTGACATGTTTTTCCATTTTCATCGGTTAATATTTTAGCTTTTCAGCTGTTGTAGCTCTCAGATTTAGATCTTCTATTTTGTTTTTAAAAAACATTGCCAGTTACTCTTTAGCAAGCCAAATTCATGACCCTGTAAAGAGATCTTGACCGTCACTTAAGACTGTCAATACAGATTTCCATCACTGTACCTTATAAGAAGTCAGTAAAAAATAAAGATGTCTAAAGCAGAGGAAACCTTTAACATGAAAAACCAACAAGCTAAAATAAGTGAAAATTAATTAGGAGCTAACATAATATCTTTCCCAGTGTCAGCTGCTGGAGATAAAAGAGAAAGCCAAATTTTTCACTTGTAATTTTAACGGTTAAAATTGGACCCTTGAAAAATATTTTCAAAGAAGTTTTAAAGAAAAATCTTCACTGTTACTACCCTGCCCCATAACTTTACAGGTTGCTAGACTATTAAGTCAGTATTCAGGAAACTTGCCTATATTTACTCATATGTAGAGAACTAATTTCAAAGATTATTTTCTTAAGTTTTTTTTTAATTCATACTGATATAAAACTGTTCTATTTACTATTGCTGTGTAACAAACCATCCCAAACTTCATGGAATGAAACAACAAATAGTTGTATATGCTTAGGAGTACCATGGGCCGGGTATTCCAAAAGGTCACAGCAGGAATGGCTTTTATCTGCTTCGTGATGTCAGAACCTCAGCTAGGAAGACTCAAAGGCTGACTAATGACGGACTCAGTAGCTGGGGGCTGGAATCAGTCTGAGGTCTCCCTTCACTGACAAATCTGGTGTCTGGGTTGAAAGAGCTCAAAATCTAGGACTTCCAGATAGAGTGCCTAGACATGGTGTCCATGTGTTTGACAGCTTAGCAGCCTTAAGCTCGTCAGGCTTCTACAGGGTAAGTCAGGGTTTCAAGCATGACTGATACAGCAAACAGAAACTACATACTCTTTCTGATATATTCTTGGAAATTTCTGGTATTACTCACTACAAGAAAGTAACAAACCTTAGATTTATGGGGATTTGACATAGACTCCACTTCTCAATAGGAGGAATGTCAACGTCATGTTGAAAGAACATGTGAAAAAAAAAAAAAAGAACATGTGGAACAGGCAATGCTATTTGGCTATCTTTGGAAGGTATTGCATGCCACAAAGTCTTAACGCTCCTAGGTACCATACAGATTCCACATATTGGTTTTATTCAAAGAGATGGAGCATCCTTAGAATCAGCTAATCCTGGGGACAGATATCTAGAGATTTCAGAAAAACTTTCAGCAAGGTATCGTTTGAAAATGAGAAAAACTACACTATGGTAACACTTAGAGGCCAACTTTACTACTTGAGATTTCAGTAGGCTTTTGTAACTCTTCTTTTCATCTTATCTCCTCAATTCTGGCAATAGCCCTAATAGTTGGTTACATTAAAATTATTTTAACTTCCTATCAGAGTACATACATATCTCTCTACATACTTTTTTCCTTTTTATTTTTTTTAATATAAATTTATTTTTTATTGGTGTTCAATTTGCCAACATATAGAATAACACCCAGTGCTCATCCCATCAAGTGTCCCCCTCAGTGCCCGTCACCCAGTCACCCCCACCCCCCGCCCACCTCCCTTTCCACCACCCCTAGTTCGTTTCTCAGAGTTAGGAGTCTCATGTTCTGTCTCCCTCCCTGATATTTCCCACTCGTTTTTTCTCCTTTCCCCTTTATTCCCTTTCATTATTTTTTATATTCCCCAAATGAATGAGACCATAAAATGTTTGTCCTTCTCTGATTGACTTACTTCACTCAGCATAATACCCTCCAGTTCCATCCACGTTGAAGCAAATGGTGGGTATTTGTCGTTTCTAATGACTGAGTAATATTCCATTGTATACATAAACCACATCTTCTTTATCCATGGACACCGAGGCTCTTTCCACAGTTTGGCTATTGTGGACATTGCTGCTAGAAACATCGGGGTGCAGGTGTCCCGGCATTTCATTGCATCTGTATCTTTGGGGTAAATCCCCAGCAGTGCAATTGCTGGGTCGTAGGGCAGATCTATTTTTAACTCTTTGAGGAACCTCCACACAGTTTTCCAGAGTGGCTGCACCAGTTCACATTCCCACCAACAGTGCAGGAGGGTTCCCCTTTCTCCACATCCTCTCCAACATTTGTGGTTTCCTGCCTTGTTAATTTTCCCCATTCTCACTGGTGTGAGGTGGGATCTCATTGTGGTTTTGATTTGTATATAGAATGAAAACCAACTAGCTCACCAAATACTTAAGGTACAAGTAACAAAGTGGCAGAAAATATCCAAGATTTACTCCAGGGAAAATGATCTCTATCAAGAGACTATTTCTACCTGACCCATACAGGCTTTATGCAAAGATAAGTAATCAGGAATCTAAACTGAGCTCATTCACTTTAGCCCATGATTGGTTCCTGTCTTGTGTCAGAAGATCAGTGAAGATCACTAAAAGCTACAGTCCTGTGTTTAATAAATATAAAAGGTGAAAAAACATAAAGTAACTCCTTAAAACTTACCTATATAGAATATTGGTTTGAAAGGCTAGAATTACATTTTAAGAAGGCAACTGCCAAACATTTTAGATGGAGAATTTAGTAAGCTGATTTGGGAGGAAGTGGAGGATCTGTAACAATAGACTGATTAGAGGGCAGCCCCGGTGGCGCAGCGGTTTAGCGCCGCCTGCGACCCAGGGCGTGATCCTGGAGACTCTGGATCGAGTCCCACGTTGGGCTCTCTACATGGAGCCTGCTTCTCCCTCTGCCTGTGTGTCTGCCTCTCTCTCTCTGCATCTCTATGAATAAATAAATAAATAAATCTTTAAAAAAAATAGACTGATTAGAGCCCTCCATTGGGTTAGATTTGAGTGAAATCATTTTAAGTCATCTGCCAACTTCTTATTTATTCAGCAAACATTCATTGCCTTCTATATCTCAGCATTAAATGTATGCATATAATGTGAATATGGATAAAAGAAATCTATATCTGGCACTACACATGCCATTTAAAAGATCTTAATAGCTACCAATAAAACATTACATGTTCTCATCTATTGTAGTATCTTTTGTTTTACTGTATTATCTCTCTTACACACTCTTCCATGGTGATAGCTTCTTTATAATTTGCATCCTAATTATTTCTCTTCATCAGTCCTGTGACTTTTCATTTATCTAATTTCCATTTATTATTAGTCATCAGTGGACTCTGTCCCTCTGGTTTGTTTCATTGCAGGAGTATATAGTCTACTTGAGCTTTCCTTTGTTTCATTGTCGTTTATGATTTCTCAGTCTCCTTCAAATTCAGCTGATTTTTTACTTCCTAAATCTTTCAACCTGTAAGTTAACTCTAAAAACCCATATGTATTTTTTTAATAGAGGTCTTCAATCCCTTTTTGTTATGGGAACTCCTGACTGGATGGTATTTGTCTGGGTTTGAGACGTGGTCCTCCTCCGGGGAGGCTAGTGTTTGAGCTAGAGGTAGACATGTTGACTAAAATAGGAAGAAAAACACAACAGTTCTCCTAATCAGTTACCACTTGGCACTTTATTTATTTTTCATTGTTAGCATTTTTAAATAAACAGGATTTTCACATGATTGCTGAATGCCTGCTCACTCATAGGCCAGAGTAATTATGTAAAAACCATGCTACAGACCTTGGAAGAATATACTTAGGTATTTTATATGTATGGCTTTAAAAGCTTGTTGTTTCAGGGTATAGCCAAAAAATAAATATTTAAAATTGTAAGCTCTCCAAGGCAGGGTAACAGTTCCTCTTAGAGGAAACTATTCTTCTATATTTTTTCTTGCTTTTCCCATCTCCTTCTGACTTCTCCTTTTCCCACATGTGCACAGGACCTTTTCACTAGAGAAGTCTATGCTATCCTGCTTTCTCTGTGACAATCTCATTTTTCATGCATGCTGTAAGAGAACCATTGAAGGGCTGGAAACTACCATCAAGAAAAATGGCTAATCTAGGCTTCCCAGTTTTCTTCTTATATCTTTTCTTCTCATGCGTTCTTTGAGTATTCTTATGTCTTTGTCATTCAGGTCCATGTTACAAGCTAAAAGGTGCTGAGATTGTGGGGTTTGGGTTTAGGATTGAGGGTTTAGGATTTGCTTTCATTCAAAGCAAGCAAGCAAGAGTTCTGCCTTGGTGTTTGAGATTTAGGTTTATTGGTTTCCAATTTGCATTATTTGTGTCTAAACCCTTTAACACTTCATAGAGGAAAAGTGGTTCCTGGACTAAGGCAAAAAGAAAAAGGATACCTGGGTCCTCAAGCTAGATACCATGTTACTGGCATCAAAACCCAAAATTAGTCCTTACTAGTAACATTGTGGTAAGTAACATGTAGATAGATACCTATAAGTTGTAGTAGAAGCATAGAGTAATTCAGAACTGTGTTGAGTGATCTGTGACCTAAGTTCTTAAAGATGAATTTACTTAGATATATAATCCAGTTAGGAAAATTAGAATTGTAAAGTTGAAAGTTTATGGCATGTTTGGGATATGAACAGTGAATTCCTTGTTTTTGTTTTCCTGTTGGTTTATTAAAGAGTTTACAGGTTTAATCAGCTCTAATATTGTACACTTTAAAATTTTCCCATAAAAAGGTGCTTCCTGGGTGAGCTGGGGTTTGGTCAAAGGTGCTGAATTTACTGGCAAAGCAATCCAGAAAGGCGCTTCTAAACTCCGTGAACGGATTCAACCAGAAGAAAAACCAGTGGAAGTTAGTCCAGCTGTGACCAGGGGACTTTATATAGCAAAGCAGGCTACAGGAGGAGCAGCGAAAGTCAGTCAGTTCCTGGGTAAAGTAACTTTGGAGGACTGCTTTTTTTCAGTTAAATTAAAAATGGTTTCTTAATCTAGGTTAATCTGAATGTTCATTTAGATGGTTTAACCTTAAAAGTAAAGGATTAGGACAAAACAGTTTCACTTTGCTACTCATAATAGGGTTTGTAGCAACATCAACCTATCTGAGAGCCTTAGAAACATTTCACGTACTTGGCACACATTAACTGATTCAGAAACAAGATTCCTGCCTAGGTGATTGTTGTTTGCATATTATTTTGAGAAACATTGGTTAAAGGGTTATTTTGGTGTATCAGAGAGGGGAGTGTCTGTGCCTTTCAAAAGGAATGGCTCTGAATGTATTTGCTATCCTTTAATAGGATACATTCTTTTAAGAACAGCTCACTGCATAGTAGTTGGGGTCAAGTGGGAGGGATGTTTTATTTGAACTACGTTGATTCAGTGATTCTGGTGTCAGCCTTCCCAAGCAATATGCTACTAATTCATTCTCCTTTGAGAATCATAAATCTAAAGTTTGTATTTTAAGGTAGTCAGATCACTCCTTAGTGAATTATCATTAGAGGAAGATTATCTTTTTGGTATTCAGTATTCTTTGAATCAGGTTTTGGTTTGTTTACTTTTATATAGACTTAAATACCTTATTACTATTTCAGTGAGATATTTGTTGATATGGAGAAAACAAAGAAATGGACATAACTGGAAAATATGAAAGGTGGACCTTGCCAAAAAGAAAATTATTTTTAGAAGCAAGGTTTTAATCACTAAGCTCTGCAAACATATCTTTAAACCAAATAAGAGCCTTTGTTTAAAAACTAGCCAGCCATGGTTTTCATCCTTATATAGAAATGATAAGTTATGCAATAAAATAAGTTTGCTCATGCAAGATGCTCATGTAAGAATTTTGATAAGGAAGAGTGGTAAAATCAAGGGAAGAATACATTTTTTTCTAAGTGTTTCCTTTTTTTTCTGGTTACATTAGTTGATGGAGTTTGCACTGTAGCAAATTGTGTTGGAAAGGAACTAGCTCCACATGTCAAGAAGCATGGAAGCAAACTTGTTCCAGAATCTCTTAAAAAAGACAGAAATGGAAAGTCTACCTTGGATGGTGCTATGGTTGTAGCAGCAAGTAGTGTTCAAGGTAACAAAGGCCCAGAAATTTTACTAGGAAACTCCATTCATTTAGCTGTAGTCTTACTTACTTTTAAATATATTTGCAGGATTTTCAACTGTCTGGCAGGGATTGGAATGTGCAGCCAAATGTATTGTTAATAATGTTTCAGCAGAAACTGTTCAAACTGTCAGATACAAGTAAGTTATCATTTTAATGACTAAATCTCTTAGGGCAGTTATAAGAATTCAAGATAGTTAAAATGATTGTGTCATAATTGGGTATATGATAAAAAATTTTTTCACTCTTTTTCTTAATAGTATTTAGGCAAATTAATAGAATTACTATGACTTTGTCTTATATTACTAATGTTATGTTTCTTCATCATTAATGCAAAGAAGTTTAATGAAAAAGAAAAGCCTATAGTGACTCAATACCTTATTAACTGCATGTTCTTGATGGGTGATGTTTATTAGTAGTTTTGGTGGGAAAAACTTGAATTATAATTGAACTATTGTACCTTGTTAACATTAGCCCCTTCTGTATACAAAGAATGTTAAATATTGTCACATCTTACTTGACTCTACCCTTGTTCATTCTTATTGGAATGGACAGATGGTATGTTATCTATTTCATATATTAAGAAGTGGACAAATATAGAAATGAGTGTTCTGCCCAAGCCAATCTGATAACTATTAAATGTGAGACTTAAAACAGGATCATTTGATTTTAGCTCTTTATTCTTTATAAGTCCTAGGAGAATCTAGGTCTAAAAATAAATCTAGTATGAAGGACCCGAGTTGCTTTCTTAGCTTTAAATTATTTTTTTTAATTTTTATTTATTTATGATAGTCACACACACACACACACACACAGAGAGAGAGAGAGAGAGAGACAGAGAGAGAGAGAGAGAGAGGCAGAGGGAGAAGCAGGCTCCATGCACCGGGAGCCTGACGTGGGATTCGATCCCGGGTCTCCAGGATCGCGCCCTGGGCCAAAGGCAGGCACTAAACCGCTGCGCCACCAGGGATCCCTCTTAGCTTTAAATTAGTTTAAAGCCTAATAAAAAATTTTTATTCAGAAAGCAAAAAGTTAATATTAATGGTATTCTCAACTCTGTTATTTATATTAATTATCCACTCAAAGCAGTTGAGTTCATACTTCTGTACCAGACATTGTGTCCAGTGCTTTTCAATATATGTTTAATCTTTAACACAATTTTTTAAAAAGATTTTATTTATTTATTTGATAGAGTACACAAGCAGGAGGATCAGCACGCAGAGGGAGAGGTAGAAGGAGAAGCAGGCTCCCAGCTGATCAGGGAGCCTGATGTGGGGCTTGATCCCAGGACCATGGGAACATGACCTGAGCCAGAGGCTGGCACTTAACCAGCTGAGCCACCCACACGCCCCTAACACTATTTCTTTTTTTTTTTTTTTTTTTTTTTTGAGAGAGAGAGAAAGAAAGGTAGGGGGAGGGGCAATGGGAGAGGGAGAGAAAGAGGATCTTAAGCAGGCTTCATGATCAGCACAGAAGCCGACATGGGGCTCCATCTCACAAGTCTGAGATAATGACCCCAGCAGAAATCAAGAATCCGATGCTTAGCCAGCTGAGCCACCCAGACATCCCTCATCCTTAACACTGTTATCTCCATTTTACAAATGAGGAAGCTGAAGCATAGAGCTGTTAAAATACCTCATTAAAGATAATACCCCTACTAAGTGGTAGAACTAGGATATAAGCCAAGTCTCTTTGTATCATGCAGTGTGAAATAACCAACTCTGCCCTTGATGGGACATCTGTGCAGGTTTAGTATCTAGAGTTATTTTCCACCACTATCTATCATGCATTTACATTCTCTTCCCTCATAGTAAATTACCTGTGGCTTAGGAAAAACTAACTTAATTTCCAACCTGAGTTGATTTGGTCTCCATCTGGGGCATGCATACCTTTGAATCAAAGCAACATAACATCTTGAAGTGTCAATTTGACCAAAAGATTTGGCAAAGAAAATACAGAATAGATCTGAAGTTCTTTTGGTGGAAATATAAAACCCAAGTCTTCCAACTTCCCTCTTGGTACTTGTAGCCTTGATCTCTAACACATCTTATGTTGTGGCTCTGAGTTTACTTTGGTGGATCAGTCATAATTAAAAAAAAAAAGTCTCTTCTTTTTTTGCAAGAACCCAAGAAAGTCAGACATGCCTTTTATGCTAGTAGTGAATTATTTTTAGATTATCAGTATCATTTGTTAGAGATAGTCATGTTAAAAGTCAGTAGGTTTACCCATTTGCTTATTTAATAAAAAAAGAGCTTAATTACAATTAAAGAGCTTAATTAAAGATTTGGGAATCACATAACCAGCAAGGTTTTGGTATAGATTTTGTATTTTTGGTCCTTAGTGAGGAGAACCTAATAGGAAGAAAAGGACTTTTAACAGTGGTTCTGAGCTTATTTATTTGTTATGGTACGTATTGCTGTTCTTTTTATCCTTTCCTTCAAAGATTCGTGGAATGAAAAAACAGGTGAGAATTTGGTTAGGTAGGCTTGTATATAAAGCTAACTTTGGTCTTAGCAGAAATTTAATTAGAATGATGGAAGGGGTAGTGAGGATGTAAAGAGTTTTTGTAATACTGTTTCCTCTCTTAAGAGTAATCTGGCCCAGAAGTAGAAATTCTCTTTTAAGAGAAAAAACTGCAAATATTAAAGCAGTAATAATTTAATGATTTTTATCACTGAAGAAATGGAAGAGCAAGTTGATTTAATTTAGTTCTCATTTATTTACATAAATTTACATTTATGAATGTAAGTAATACATTTATATTTTTATATTTATGAATTTACATTTATTTAAATTTGTTTATACTTTGGAAAAGTATTTGATAGAGTAAGCTTTTTTGTTTTTCTCCTCTACTCCAACTGCTGGTAGTATGGTAAAATTTGTATTCTTATTTCCTATAATAAGTTCTTCTCCCAAGCATTTTGAATCTGCCATAATTATGTGCATTATGCCTAGGTAAAAAACAAATTATTATATGTACTTCTTTACCTGATCTCTCATGGTACAAGCCAGTACAAAAGTTATCTTTTCATTTAGGCATATTTAAAAGCAGATTGTGTTACAGAAGTATATTGTTTATACCTTTCATGGTTTTAATTATATCCAGGATTATGTTCATTGCCTGTGAATGTTTTACTAAGGATCTGCATAATCAATTTTACTCTTAAATTTTTAGTAAATTGTGTAGGAATTACTCATTAAGACTATTTTTGTCAATTACATTAACGTTCTTATTTTAAATTAGGAACATGAAGACCTACAGGAACAATGAAAAGCATTAAGTAACTTCAACCCACTATATTAATTGCAGTGTAGTATCTACTAAATAATTTAGTACTCTTCTCCATAGCTTCTAAATTTCACCTTTACACTCCTTTTTTTCCATTTCAAATTGTTTAGAGGATAGGGTACCTGACTAGCTCAGTCAGATGACATTGTGACTCTTGATCTTGTTGTCTTATGTTTGAGCCCCACATTGGGTATAGAGATTACTTAAAAAAAAAAAAAAAACACCTTTAAAAAATACATAAATTGCTGAGAGGAAAAAAAATAAAACTTCAGTAACATCTATTTTTGTTTTCCCCTCACTAAAATGTTATCTTAGAACACATTTCTGAATAATAAGCTTAGTAAAATAGTTTTTCTATAAGGAATTTACTTTTTTAAAGGTTTTTATTGGTTTATTTAATGAATTTTAATTAAAATTCCCCTTAAATTTGCACTGGGTGACAGGGCAAATTCAAATTCAAATTCACTAAAGCTAATCTTTTTTTTTTTTTATTTAAAACTTTTTTTAATTTTTTTTTAATTTTTATTTATTTATAATAGTCACAGAGAGAGAGAGAGAGAGGCAGAGACATAGGCAGAGGGAGAAGCAGGCTCCATGCACCGGGAGCCCAACGTGGGATTCGATCCTGGGTCTCCAGGATCGCACCCTGGGCCAAAGGCAGGCGTTAAACCGCTGCGCCACCCAGGGATCCCTTAAAGCTAATTCTTTGGCAGATGTCATATTACTCAAAACCAGTTTTATATAGCATCTATTCAAGAGTTACATAAGATCAGCCTTCTCTTTTCTGTACTGTAACTATGCAAGTATTTAAACATTATCATGTCCTTTACTTACTTTTTATTGTCTTCTAAATACTCCCAGCTCCTTTAACAATTCTATATGTACTATGGTTTCCAGTTCCCTTCATTTATCAGTATTCTTTTAAAAGTGGAACCCAGAATTGAATGTAGTATTTTGTGTTGTTTCCAGGTAGAACACAGTGGGACTGCATCCCTTGTTTGGTAATATTTAGCATTTGGCAAAGAGGGAATACAAGGCAAAGATATCTTTTTAGTAGCTGTTATTTTATCGACTCATAAAACTTTTTTTAATGAAAGTTTATTTATTTTTATTTTTTTATTTCTTTTATGAAAGTTTATTTAAAATCTGGGCATTCATCTTATTTTTGGACAGTTGATATTTTTACCTAAAATTAAGAACTTTATATTTACTTTAAAATTAAGAACTTTATATTTACACAACAGTATTGTCATTTAGCTCACTGTTCAATTTTGTCTTATCAGACTACTTCTCAGAGTTGTTGTCTTCCATATCCATTCATTAAATATTGGTTCTAAGGCTTTACTCTATGCTCAGTCCTTTTCTATTCTTTGTGGATATTGTCTATACTGGTGTCTATAGTTATAACCTATCATATTTGTGTTTCCAATTTTTGTCTTAATCTTTATGCTTCATAAATCCCAACTACATAGCCCTTCAGCTATTCATTTGCTGAGTCTTGTTTTTTATATTTATACTTTTCTCTCCAGGCTTGTTACCACTACTGTAGAATAGGCCTGCATCATTTCTCAGCTATCTTATAGCTTGTTTCCTGTCTGGTTCCTCTGTCTCCCTCTTACTTACAGTTCACAATGCAACTGAGTTAGAGCTGTCTAGAAACATAAATTTGGTTGTGCCATTGCCATGGATTTCAAGATAAAGTTTAAATTCCTCAACTTCACCTATAAGGTCCTTCATAAATTGGCTACAACCCACCTATCTTGATTGGATAGACTAAGAAGGTGCTATTTCCATTTTGAATATTTAAGATTAATATTTCCAAGAATAGTTTTGAAAGTTGCATGTAAATTGAATTTTAGGAAGATTTATTTGAAATTTGTTATGACTGAAATTTTGTTATAATTAGTGAAATCTAGAATCACTGCCAATATGCTGTCTTTGTAGACATTACTGAATGTGCTGGAGAATTTTTTTTTCCCTGGAGAAATTTCTGAAGAGTCTCATTCAAACTGTATATGAAGTCTCATTGACTTATTTCGAGCATACTTTATATTCATTTTTATTGTTCTTCAATTGGTAGTGTTACTTGGCATATAAAATCTAATAAGCTGTAATTAAACTTTTTAAGGAGTAAATAAACATTTTCAGGACACCTGGGTGACTCAGTGGTTGAGCTTTGCCTTCTGTTCAGGGTGTGATCCCGGGATTCTGGGATCAAGTCCTACGTCACACTCCCCACAGTGCCTGCTCCTCCCTCTGCCTGTGTATCTGCCTCTATCTGTCTCTCATGAATAAATAATATCTTTTAAAAAAATACTGTTTTTTTTTTTTACCAGAAATAGACTTTCTAGTTTTTGGCAGTGTAGTCTGAATCTACAGTGTATAGTTTGAAGAAAAGAACTGAGCAGTTACTTATCAAGGAAGAGAAGAATAGATGCCTGCCAGGAATACTGGTTCTGAGGCATATTAGGAAGCAGAGGTGATAGATTAGGATACATTAAAGCAAATAAACACAACCGCTTAAAAGCCATTTTATTTGGTCTTTAATTACACATTTTGTATAGTGGAATTTTCAAAGTGCTTTAATCTGTACATCTCATTTTATGTAATAAAAAAGAAGAAATTGATGAGATGTGAAGAGGTTGATACTTCACCAATCTTCTTATGGTTAGTTTTGGGCACAATTGGTATTAGTATGTAGTTTTTTGACTCCTAGTTTGGTACTGTTCCCTAAATTAACAGGAATTGCTACTGAAATGGAGATAGCATGGGAAAACAAGCAAAACATCAGTGTATCAACACAGATGCCTTTTTAGTACATTACTGCTAAAAATGTAGCCTTTGGAATTGTGTTACATATAAAAATATCATGAGTGCAGTTGGAGGTATCAAACTGCATCAGTAGAATAGGGGAAGTGGAGTCTTGAATCTGGAGGATTTCCTTTATTCAAAAACACTGATATGGCCAAATTCTTCAGTTAACCATGTCACTTCATTTTAGCTCACATAGTCTGGAAAAGAGGAGCCCTAAGAGAAACCTCAACTGGACATCATGGTCATTCTTCCAGTGCTGAAACTGCTACCACCCCTTTCTTATCATTTAACCTTAGCCATTGCCACTTGATAATAGCATTTATGGGGGCATGATTGACAGAAGGTTCCATGTCTTCTTGCAAAATCAGCAAATTGCAAAGCAACAGGAACTGGCAAACAATAGTTAAGGAAGCTTCAGTCTCTGGTAACTGGTGAGAAAGCCCCAATCAAGAGTGATATGGGGGTGCCTGGGTAGCTCAGTCAGTTAAGCATCTGACTCTTGATTTCAGTTCATGATCTTGGGTTACTGGAATTGAGCCCTGTGTCTGGCTCTGCTCTCAGTGAGGAGTCAGCTTCAGGATTCTCTTTCCCTCTCCACCTGCCCCTTCCCTCAATTGCAGGTGCTCTCTGTCTCTCTCAAATAAGTAAATCTTTTTTAAAAAGTGGTATATGGGCAGCCCAGGTGGCTCAGTGGTTTAGTGCCACCTTCAGCCCAGGGTGTGGTCCTGGAGACTCGGGATCGAATCCCACATCAAGCTCCCTGCATGGAGCCTGCTTCTCCCTTTGCCCGTGTCTCTCTCTCTCTCTCTCTCTCTCTTTCTATGTCTCTCATGAATAAATAAATAAAATCTTTTAAAAATAGATAGATAGATAAATAAATAAATAAATAAATAAATAAATAAATAAATAAATAAATAAAATAAATAAAGTAGTATATGAAGCACCTGGGTGGTTCAGTCAGTTAAGTGTCTGCCTTTGGCTCAGATGATGATCTCATGGTCCTGGGATTGAACCCTGCATCGAGCTTCGTGCTCAGCAGGTAATCCGCTTCTCCCTCACACTCTCCCTCCGTACCCTCTCTCTAAAATAAATAACATAGTAAGATACACTCTAGCACAGAGATTGAAAAAAAAAAAAACACCCAAGTATGAACAAGCTAATAGGATCACAAACCACTGTTCCAGGCTAGCCTAATGGTAATAGAGGACTTGTGAATTCAAAGGGTCCAATGTTAGTATAAAATATCCAGGTATAAGTCACAAAGCACATAGGAATCTTCAGTGTGTCCTAGAGAAAATTATAAAATGTGCCTTTTTTTTTTAAGTTTATGCTTGCTAAGCAAGAAAAAAATCTGGTACTTTAATAACGGTAAGAGAAAAAAATGGGATAATTTTTAGTGTTTTTGTATAGGCTTTCAACTTGTATTTTCTCATGGAAATGATACTAAACACAGATATTGATAATTGTCTATAATAACTACTTCTGTATAGTGCTTGTATAATTTCCCAAGCACTTTGCTATACATTTGATGCTCAAGAAACTGTTGGTAGATAGCAGAGGAATTAATCATTTTAAGCATTCAAGAAATAATGAATGTCAGGCAGTGTTCTTAGCACATAGGATTTATTAATGAACATGGCAGAGTTTGTTTTCTAATAGGTTTATATTCTAGCAAGATAAGCAAAAAATAAGGAAGTTAAGTTCTATACTATGTAGCAGGTGATAAATTATTGAATATAAAAGAACAGCTTATCAGTTTATCGGGAGATTGACAGATGGACCATGTGGGGTAAAGCAGTTGAAAATAGGTGAGATAGTGAGAAGACAATAATTAACTGACTTGAAGAAGGTGAGGCAGTGAGACATGTGAATTCCTGGGTGAGAATAGTTCAGGCAAATACCAGCCAGTAAAAAGGTCTTACTTATTGGAAGGAATTACTTCCAATAAGATGGTGCATGTGTGTTTCATGGGTTCAAAGAACAGCAAGAATGCCAGTGAGTCTGCAGTGGAGTGAGGAAGAAAGTGTTGTAGAATCTTTGCTTAAAGCTAAGCTTGGATTCTGATACTTTAAAAGACCTAACCAGGGGCGCTTGGGTGGCTTAGTTAAGCATCTGACTCTTTATTTTGGTTCAGGTCATGATCTCAGTCTCTTGAGATTGAGCCCTCTGTCAGGCTCCATGCTGGGCATGGAGCCTGCTTAAGATTCTTTCTCTTCCTCTCCTTCTGCCCCTTACACCCCACCCCCAGTCCCTCTTTAAAAAATAAATAAAAGGCCTAACCAAATCTAGTTAAGGTAGAACTTGAAACCATTTATAGTGACTCTAGATTCTTTGTGTTCTATAGTTGCTTCATTGAAAATTTTCTATTTCCAGAAAGGGTGGGTTAGAAAAGGGAAACAGTGACTGATGAACAATCTTTATTATATTTACATTTTATTCTTCAACACAAACAGTTGTTATTACATTAATCTCAGCTAGCCCGAGTGTATTTTCACGCAGTTTCTGCTAAAAGAGAAATACAGCCTTGGCACAGTTTGATTTTATTCTTTACTCTGTTTTAGATTATTAATTAAATTGAAACATAACCCTTGATTTTGCTTTCAGGAATAACATACTAATCATGGGACTTACTTAATACTAAGTCAGAAGATCTCAATTTATATTTATAATTTCATTATACTTTTTTTCAATCTTTTAAAGATATGGGCATACTGCAGGAGAAGCTACACATGATGCAGTAGATTCTGCCATCAATGTTGGTGTAACTGCCTATAATATTGATAACATTGGTATCAAAGCAATGGTGAAGAAAACTGCAAAAGAAACAGGACAGACACTCCTGGAAGACTATAAAATAGTTGATAATTCTAAGGGGAGTAATCAAGAAGGAAGAGCAAATGTAAACATGAAAAGGGAGACGGGTGAGCAGACAAAGGACCTAGAGAAGAGTGAGGCAAAGAAGAAAGAGAAATGATGGAAGTGCTGTGAATCACCTATACCAAAGCCTTACAAGGTGGATGCATTTTTGTTAAATAGGCAAATGTGGAATTCCCCACAGATTAACCAGTGTTTTAAAAATGTATTCATTCCTATGAAGTGACTATTTCATAAGCTTTATAGCATGTATTCTGCTTACAAGGAGAAGAATCAGTATTCTTGCATTTGGCCTTTAGAAATATAGGGTTATATTCTCATTAAGTTTATTTTTTCTAAATGTGGCTAAAATATTTTTGCAGTTAAAATAAGACTAATAATACATGTGCTATAAACCTCATTAAACCTAATGTTAAGCTATTTTTGTATTTGCTGTCTTTCAAAAAGCAAGATAGGAAATTATATATTTACATAAAATTTGGCATTTAGTAACCTTAGCTCTAGTTGTACTTGGAAGGAATTAAAATATTGTCTCCTGGTTTTGCACTAATTGTGGATTTCTTTTTCTAGGTGCTTGTCAATTTTCAGTATATAAGCTAAAAACAACTATAATCCTAAACTAAAATAATTCTCAGATAACATTTAAGACTTTTTCAATACAGGGAATAGGCTAATCATGGAAAATAAGATGAAGTCTATAGAATTATTTGGTAGCTTATCTCTTTATTCAGAAGTGGAATGGTCTTTCTGATTTAGAATGAATACAAAGAGATTTTCAAGTCTTCTGGATTTAAATTGGTATTGATCTAGGAGCCTAGGAAATTTTGGTATATGATAATGTATTAAAATTTGAAGTGATTATCATCACTTGAATTGGACAAAAAAGTACTTTAAGAAATCGCTTTACCATATCTACTTTATTTCAGAAGGCTTAAATATTTATTAAAAATATGAACAATTTTTTGAATGGTAAATATATTTTTATTTTGGGATTTAGTCATTGGGATTTTATATGGTAAAACCAACAAATTATTAGAAAAAGCTCTATTTACAGTCATGGTAAAGAATGTGAAGACTTTAGGCTTAATCCATGGTGGGTGAGGTATAATAGTTTCCACTCTGGCAGAAGACAGGACATTCACAGACCTATAAGGTACAAATACATAAGTAAATACCTAGTGGCATTTTATTTTTGTTTACTGATTTTAAATGATTGGTATTGATTTTCATAGCTGTTGTCCATTCTAATATTTCTGAACCTTTAATGGCTGCTAGTTTATTAGACTTCATTCAAAACTATCTTTAAAGTGCTCTTTATGAATAAATTGTTTCTGAATTACTTGGCCTCAAATGTATTCACGGGATTTATTTTGGGAACACTTAGAATTGATGGATCCTTTCTCTAAGGCCAGGGATAATGTGGAAATAAAATTGAATTGGTAAATAGCTTCTATTTAGTCTCTGCCTTAAGTTTGAGATGTGGAATGACAAATAGTGGATGCTAAAGTTTACAAAGTTATAGCAGAGGTCAGCAAAATTGATTTGTCACAATTGTATTTGTTAAATTTGTATTTAGTTGTCCGTTTCACTTCATTCTGCTCTGCTCACTTGGTGGTGGGTTTCTTTTTCAGATTAATATAAACACAATCATAATATCTTCTATATTAGAGTGTTCCAGAACCATCAGAGTATATGAGATAAATATACACGTGCACACACACGTGTGTATAAAGAGATTCATTACAAGGAATTGACTCACAAAATTGTGGAGGCTGAGAATAATTCCTAAGGTAGCCATTCAGTTAGCTACAGACCCAGGAGAGCTGATGTGTTGTTGTTTTAGTACAAGTCTGAAGGGCCAAGAACTAGGTGAACTTGTTGGTATAAGTTCCAATCTGAAAGCCTGCAGCCTCCAGACCCAAGAAGAGCCCATTTCAGTCTGAGTATAAAGGCCAGAAAAGACTAGTATACCAACTGAAAAAGGCAGGAGGAGTTCCTTCTTACCTTTTTTGTTGTATTCAAGTCTTCAATTGATTGGATGAGGTCCACTGCCTTTGGGAGGGCAATCTGTTTTACTAGGTGTACTGATTGAAATGTTAATGTTAATCTCATCCAGAAACACCCTCGCAGACACCTCCAAAATATACCAAGTATGTGTATACCCTGTGGCCCAGCGAAACTGAAAAAATCACAGCTGCTTAGCCCAGTTTTCACTGTATAGTGTATACTTTTACCAAGCTCTGCTTGGCTCTTTGATACTCAATAGATACAGTGTATAAAAGAACAGTACTCAATATTGACTGCTACCAGGGTTTTTCCTCCTTTTGCCTCTACAGACTGTCCCTCCCTCATGCTATATGGGGTAGTTTCCTGGGAGTACCTCCAGGCACCAGCTGTCTAGAAATAATCATAGCTAATGTCTATGTAGTGCTTACTGTGAACCATTAATGTTCTAAGTGCTTTTATGTAGGCTAATTCATTTTAACCTCATAACATTCACACACTATTGCAACCTTCATTTTACGGAATAGGAAGCAGATACAGTGAGGTTAAGTGAGGTTACTGTTTATTTGGATCTTTTCTAAGAAAAGAGAAGAGTATGAAAGGAAAGAGGTCATAGACTAGCCTCAAAAAGGAGGGACCTACACAGTAGAGTGATTGTTAGGCCAGACATTTTTCTTAAACAGAGGTAGATAAGGACAAATGGCATTTATAGATAACCTTTGCTTCCAGCTGCTTAACGCTAGTTTCTCTTTTTATTACCATTCCACTGGTTTTGTAGTTGGTAGAAAATTGCCCAAGTTAGTAGCAAATAGGTCATAAGTCTTAGATTTGGTGATTGTGTGAGCTTTTGTCTTTTTCTCTATATTCATAGGTATTTTAGGGCAAGTTAAGAAAAGTGAAGCTTAGGGCTTGTTAAGCAGAAATCATTTTATATTTCATTTTTTCGGTAAGCCTGAATAAAGCTCTACTTAAACAGAAACTAGTTCTCTGATCTCTTCTTGCCAAACTCAGGTTTAAACACACTTCCTAATGGGTATTGCCATTTAGTTTAGCAACAAATACTTAAAACATTGTGTTGTTTCTGAAAGCTTGTTTTCTTCAAAATTTTTTTTCTATTCATAATATATTTAAAGATAAAGATGAATTTTAAAAAGTCTTTAAGAACATAGATGAGAAAAAACCCAAATAATATCTTCAGATGTATTCTCTGCAAAAAGTTGTCATACATGAAAAAGGTTTGGTCACCCTGGAAGCTATTCATTGGAGGAAACAGACTAATGGAAAGTGTTCTCTACATAGGTGCGCGCACACACACACACACACACCAATCTATTTTGTTCAAATTTGGAAGCTAGCTGAGGAGAAGGTTGCGAGAATGTGCTTTTCAAAGAAGCAAGATCTCTATGGTAAGGAATAAGGTCCCAGCATTTGCAGGTTTAAGAGGATCCACAGACAATATCCCTAGTTAATAAAATATTGCTATTTAGGGAGTAACTGAGTTAGGAGCTGAAAGAATGAGGTTTTGGTAGACAGCAATTGTTGAGTTTAAATTTTCTGAGCTAAAGCCACTCTGATGACAAATTCAGAGTTTTTATAGCTGTGGAAGTGGAGTGGAGATAAAAGCGATGAGAGTTGCAAGTTGAAGGGCAAGGTTGTGGGGAAGACTTTCAGTTGGAAAGACCACTGTTAATGTCAAAGGCAGTAGACAAGGAATGACTGTCAAGTCTCTGGGTAGAAGCAAGGAGAAGGCGTAGATGGTGTTACATCAGGAAAGCATGACATTTACAATTGCTCCAAAAATAAAATACCTAGGAGTACATTTAACCAAGGAGGTGAAAGATGTGTACTCTGGAAACTCTAACATTGAAACAAATTGAGGATGACATAACCAAATGGAAAGATATTCTATGCTCATGGATTGGAAGAACAAATACTCTTAACATGTCCATACTACCCAAAGAAATCTACAGATTTAATGCAATCCCTGTCAAAATACCAACAGCATTTTTCACAGAAGTAGGACAAAATAAAGTTTGTATGGAACCACAAAAGACCCTGAATAGCCAAGCAATCTTGAAAAAGAAGAACAAAACTGTTATCACAATCCCAGATTTCAAGGTGTACTACAAAGCTATAGTAATCTGAATAGTATGGCACAAAAACAGATTCATAGCTTAGTGAGATAGAATAGAGAGCCCAGGAATAAACTCATGATTACATGGTTAATATTTGACAAAGAAACAGGAATATTCAATGGGGGAAAGAATTTCTTCAACAAATGGTGCTGGGAAAATTGGGCAGCTATAATGCAAAAGAATAGAACTGGACCACTTACACAGAAAAATAAACTCAAAATGGATTAAGGACCTTAATGTGAGACCTGAAGCCATAAAACCATAAAAACCCTACTGAATACAAACAAACAAACAAAAAACCCTTCTGCACCACAAAGGAAATAACAAAACTAAAAGACAACTTACTGAATGGGAGAAGATACTTGCAAATTATATCTGATAAAGGATTAATATTCAAAATATATGAAGAACTTATGTAACTCAACACCAAAAAAACAAATGATCCAGTTAAAAATGGGTAGAAGACATGAACAGACATTTCTTCAAAGAAGACGCAGATGGTGAGGATGAGATACCTCCCACCTGACAGAATGGTGAAACTCAAAAACACAAGAAGTGTTGGCAAGGATGTGGAGAAAAAGGAATGCTTGTGCACTCTTGGTGGGAATGCATCTGGTACAAATACTGTAGAAAACAACATGGAGATTCCTAAAAAAGAATAGAACTACCAAATGATCCAGTAATTTTACTGGGAATTTATCCAAAGGATGCAAAAACACTAATTGAAAAAGATATATGCACCCCTATGTTTACTGCAGCATTATTTATAATAGCCAAATTATGGAAGCAGCCCAAGTGCCTATTGGTAGATGAATGGATAAAGAAGACGTGGTATATATAATGGAAAGTTACTCAGTCATAAAAAAGAATAAAACCTTGCCATTTGCAACAACATGAATGGATATAGAGGGTATGATGCAAAGTGAAATAAGTCAGAACAAATGCCATATGATTTCACTAGTGGAATTTAAGAAACAAGTGAACAAAAAAGAGACCAACTAAAACAACCCATCAGATTATTAAGTATAAAGAACAAACTAATGGTTTACCAGAGGGAAGATGGGTGGGGAAATGGGTGGAATAGGTGAAGGGGATTAAGAGTATACTTATGATGAGCACTGGGTAATGTATAGAATTGTTAAATCACTGTATTGTACCTCTGAAACTAAGATAACACTAAGTTAACTAAACTGGAATTAAAATCTAATTTTTTTTTACATTAAAAAGGCATCCATATCAGAGGAGTGGTTTTTACATAAGGATGGAAAAGTAGTGAGCTGGAAGTAGCATTGGAGGTGGAGAGAATTCTTGACCCTCCTGACCCAAAGAAGCACAAGGTTCTACAAAGAAACCAGAGAACAAAAACATTAATTCTTGGCCTTTGATATTTCAAGAGCTTTTGTTTAGGTGTAAATCATAAAGATTTGAAAGAGTATATAACTATCCCTCTACTGTCCTCCAGCTCACGCCCACCCCCACCCCTTCAGTCTATGAGAGGAAAGAACTACAAACTCTGGCTGGAGAAGAAAGAAGAAAGCCAAGGCAGGAAATAGAAACTGGTGAGGGAGAGGAGACCTGCAACTTGCTCCCCACAACCTGTCTGAGGCTGAGCAAAAAAAGTGGGAATACAAGATTTGCCGTACCACATGACTTAATTGACAGAATTATTTCATATTATACTTCTTTTTAAGTTAACTGTAGTTTTTTTTAAACAGTGAACCTATTTACCATCTCTTACAAATCACTTTGTACATAATAACCCTTAATTGCTATTAATTGAACTGATTCTTCAAAATGCTTTAAATTCTCTTTTGCCTATAAATCTGGGTTGTTCTTTTGGACATTAAACAGTGTCAGTAGAGTGTGCTACTTACTACACTTACACTCAGTTCAAACAATTGAATTCCAAACTGTCCCTGTGCTTAAAACAGCCCCCAGTACAGTCTCCAAATTTCCAGTATCTCCCTTCTCTCTTTTAAAACCCACTTTCTAACTGAAGACTTGCCTTAGTTCCAGCATGTATCCAATGAACCATTTTACCATTTTATACAAACTTTTAAGTGTAGCAACCATAGGTCCCAAAAGTTTTTTCTATTTTCCCATGAATTATCGAGTTTCCAAAAGTATGTTGGTAAGCATAAACCAAATGAAACAAGCATTCACCACATGAAACAAGCATTTACCACATATGCTTTTTATGCTTAAAAAAAAAAATCTTTGAAGGAGTATCTTACGGGCATAAACAATACATATTTACTGACCACTACCAAGGGTCACTCTTCTCAACACTGAAGATGAAACAGTAAGCAGAATAAACAACTCTTTACTGGAGTACTTGTGTTGATTTGTCAGAAAACAGTCCCGTGCTCACACTTCTAAAACTGATTCAGGATATGGAAAGTGTACCAGAGAAATCAGAGGCAAAGGCAGCCCATCTTTCTACTCAAAGATGGATGGGAGCAGGGATAACTAAAGCACAGAATATCAGGAGCAAAATGCAAAATTTGTGATTACAAATACAGGCATGAAACTTCAAGCTGTTGTAAGCAGCTTCGAGCTATGTCCAGGGACAATTCCAACACTTGGCAAAACAAAATAATCTGTACTGGAAACAGTTCAGGCAGTGCCTTCTCAAGTTCTCTTCAGACACTCCTGCCAGAACCCTTGTGCGCAGTAAACTGAAGCAAGAAAGGCGCTGCCAGAACCCCTGTGCAGGGGATCCCTGGGTGGCGCAGCGGTTTGGCGCCCGCCTTTGGCCCGGGGCGCGATCCTGGAGACCCGGGATCGAATCCCACGTCGGGCTCCCGGTGCATGGAGCCTGCTTCTCCCTCTGCCTATGTCTCTCTCTCTCTCTCTCTCTCTCTCTCTCTGTGTGTGTGTGTGTGTGACTATCATAAGTAAATAAAAATTACTACTGTTCACCTTAACAGGCTCTAAGAGCAAACATCGGGCATGGGTCAGTGTTAAAGCACCAAGGCCAGCAGATCCCTACTCCTTACAGTCAACCAGCTGGTGCACATCCCCCTCCACCAGTTTGGGAAAATGAATGAGGTCCCAGCTTTTGGGCCTTGAGGCGCTTTTCTGACAGTGTTCCCAGGACGGTCAGCCAGGGCCCGGCGCAGGCGCAGGCGCAGGCTCGGGTCGCCTTCCTGCGCCCCCGGGCGCCGCCCTGTGACGTGACAGCGCGGCGCCCGCAGCGGCCACTGGGAGTCGGCGCGCCCCGGCGACGGCTCGCGACGGCGCTCTCTTCCCGGGTTCCCGGTGGCTCTTCAGATCTTGTGGTCGAAGCTGGAAGAGGGGGAGGGCGTGGACATTTCTGATCTGACACTATGGAGGAAGGAAGAGGCGACAGCTTCGACGGTGTGAGCACCGACCGCCTTAAAATGGAGCTGCTGAAAGAAATCCACCGAAGCGAGTTGGAGGGCGGCGCGGCGCAGGGCCCGGCCAGGCGCGCGCCGACCAGGGACTGGCCCCTGCGTGCGTCCTGCTGCGGACACGGAAGCTGGCGTGAGGCCTGCGAGTGATTCATACCCCGGCGGATCTGGCGACATCGAAGAACAGTGCTTTACAGGAGGGATTCATTTGCCCTTTGATTAAGCGTTTGATATTACAAACAGGCAGATTTGGAGGCAGGATTCTGGTCTTTGGATCAGGTCAGATGGAGTGTATTGTGTGCACAGACTGTAATACTAAAATATGCGTTTGATTTTCATGTTCCACTGACTTCAGCTTCTGTTTCAAGTGCCAAAGGTTTTGTTTAGTTAGGCTTCTCCATCATCCCGTTAGAAGAACTTAAGAAATGGTGGCATTTTGTAAAAATGATGCGCCTTCTATATACTTCTTAAAATACTCAATATTATACTTCGTATTAAATCTTTGACACATTTTAAGGTTTTTTTTTGTTTTGTTTTTTTGTGGTTTTTTTTTTTTTTAACACCTCCAATCTGACCAGCAGGCCCCATGAGATTTGGACTCCTCTGTGTCCCTAAATCTTCGTGTGCTTTCCTCTGTTGTAGCTCTAACACACTTTTTAAATTGCTTGGTTATTTCTTGGGCTGATATTAAACTGTAAACATGCTGAGGACAGATTATGTGTTCCCTGAGGAATTTAGAGTATAAATTTAGGAATTTTAGAGTATAAGTTTAGGAATTTTAGAGTACAAAAGCAAGTACTTTAGAGGAATCCTGCATAAATACAAATCCCAGCTTTTATCACTCTGTAACTACATGATCAAGTTAATAAACCGCTAAGCTTCAGTTTTCTCAACTCGAAGATTGGTGTATAAATCATAATACCTCATGTGGTTGTCACCAGGATTGAGTGAAAAGTATGTACAGAGCATATAACATTGGCTTATGATAAGCACTCAATGGAAATTAGCTGCTGCTATCACCATTGTCCAGTTTAATTATTCACTGTAGCATTTTCAACATAGCACAATGCCTTGATGTATAGTAGGCAATAAAAAATACATATTGCATAAATGGTTCTCTCATCATATTTTGACAATTAATGTACTAATTTACTAATGTCTTAAATAGATAATCTCTGGAATGCTATTTGTGTGTATGTGGTTTGTGTGTGTGTGTGTGTTTCTCTTTTCCTCTTTGTCTCTGGTTGTCAGTTACCCATTGCCCTAAGTCTTCCATTCTCTGATAATTTGCAGTTAATTTGCTGGGCTTTGAGAAACCAGAACAACTTCTTGGGATCATTTAAGAGTAAAGGTGACTAATGGTTACCTAGGAGCCTCTGAGCTTTAGTACATATTACGGTCCTTGTGGAACTTGGTTATCAGTCCACTTGCCTGATTTCTGATTCTCAACCATGCCTTCAATAAGTGATGTTTCATAATAAATTGTTCCTAAAGTAGTGGTGTGTTACTTTGTATTATTTTCATATTATACTGGATCATAATTAACAAGATATTTTTAATAATAGGGATATAGTGCAACTATCAATGCTTTAAATAAGACATAAGATAGCGGAACTGGAAGCCAAACTCAATACTGATGATGAAGGTATATAAGTAAATATTTTTATATATGACTCTTGTATAATTATTGTTTAGTTTACCAAGATACCCATAGTGCATTAAATTAGACGTAGGAAATAATATTACCAGGTCTCAGTACTGCTTTTTGGCAGCATTAATAATAATTTGTTATCGAGGCTTTTAAAACTAATATTTCAGTGTCAAACCTGTTACTCTATAATCATTTGTCTACTTTCAAGTTCAAAGTGTTCATCAATTAGGAAAACCTTTGTTGCATGACACCAATACATTATTGTTTTTGGTAAATAATAAAATGTCACAAATTTTCTGTGTAACTCAAGTAATACCCCTCATATCTTAACTTCTGTGGATTTGGCTATAACTTTAAAATCTTTATCTAGGTTTTGGCTATTTGTGTTATAAGAATGGTGAGGGGCAGGGGGTGAGTGTTGTGTGCATACACATGCATCCACACACCCACATACCCATATATCCTTAAAATTTATAAAGTATAAGATATTAATTCATTCCACAAATATTGAGACCCTGCCATATGTCAACAGTTGAAATGGAAAACCTTTCTTTTCCCTATTCTGAAGAGGTTTACTAACTATTGGGAGAAAGTATCAAACTAAAATGCAATTCTCAGAAAGGAATTAAGTTCTGCAAAAGGAGAAATAGAAACTCAGTTAAGGGAACCTAACACAACTTGGATAAAAACATAAAGACAACTTTTCCAGAGAAGACAGGGCTTGAAATGAATGCTAAAGAACAGTAGGAGTTTATTAGGGTTATGGGGGTGGACTTTGGTTCTTAAACCCATTTACACCTCTCTCCTCTTCTATTGGGGAAGCCATGAAACAAACAGAATTAGTAACCATATGATAAATAAAATGCTGCTATTCTTAGTTCCCAAGGCTCTTTTTAAGGCTTGAATGGAGAACACTACTCTGTCTCACATCTGGAGTAGCTTCCTATGTCTCCACATTTATACTGGAATATATAACTGGCTTTGTCAGGAGAGACTGTCAGTGCACTTACCAAATAGTTGAATTGGCGAGACTAGCTGGGATTCTCTCATCTAACCAGTTACAGACAAAACAAGTCACACTCACAAATATGCATGCAATGCAATAACCATGCCCACTAGTAAAATGTAAGCCTAACAAATCTTATTATCACTTATTATCTTCTCTTAAAGCGGAACTGGTATGTGGGTATAAAAAGAAAAGGTAAAATGATAGAGTTCTTTCCTCGGGGCCAAAGCTAAACCCTGAGGTGGAGGGGTCAGAAACACATGCCCTTTCTTTAACTAAGGCCAGTAACTATGTCAGGTGAGGTGATTATTATTAACCTTATTTATGGAAACATGGAATTTAGAAATTTAAATAGCTTGCTAAAATCATATAGCATATCATTTCATCCCAGATCACGTACCTACGTGATCACGCTTTGACAACTACTATTTAGCACATCAGCACTGAACAGTTCTGGTTATCTATTGCTGCATAGCAAACCACCTTATAACTTAGGGGCTTGACAACCTGGGAGGTTAGCAATTGGGGTCTCATGTATTACAGTCAGATGTCTGGAGCTTAGTTATCTGAAGGTTCAATTGGGCCGGGCATTCCCAGATGACTCACATGGCTAGTATCTCATACTTGCTGTTGGCTGGGAGCCCAGCAAGGTACTGCCTATCAGAAATACCTACTCATGGCTTTTGTAGCTTTTGCTTCTCACAGAATGGTGCCTGGATTCCAAGAGGATGTATCCCAATAGCAAGCATTCAAAAAGGCACAAGTGACAGAAACTGCCAGGCCGGTTAAGGGCTACTCCCAGAACTGGTACAACATCAATTCCACTATATTCTTTTGGTCAAAAACAGTCACAGATTCAAGGGGATGTAGTAAGAAACTCTACTTCTCAAGTTCATAGTACAGAAGAACATAGAGATGGGGTATATTATTTCAGTCATCTTTGGAAAATATAGTCTGTCACAGGGAGCATTAAACATAGTGCCATTTGAGGAGAACTCTTAAGTAATTGATGAAAATGGCATATAGATTGTCCTGTGAATATATCAGGAGATGAGATTAACGCTTATGAAGACAAATTAAGAGTAGTCTTTAATATAATGCTAATGAATTCGTATTGATCCTGAAGCCAATGGAACAATATTAAAGGAGTTCTAAAATGAATTTATTACTTTTTAATATCATAGAAGAAATACATGCACAAGTGGCAACTCTGGGTACATTTGTTTAGATGATCCTTTCATAGCTACTCTCCCCAAATCTCCATCACCTTTCTCCCCATCTCACTATCAGCTAAGAGCTTACATTCAAAGAGAAAGAGAAGCAATGAGAAGATTTCCACTTGTTTCTACCAAGAAAGCTACCCACCTACATGCATCTTTGTATATCCTCTGCCTTCTTTCCTGTTCTCCTGCATATTCTTATCTAAGGGACTCCTCCATGTATGTGATAGATCCTATCTACTCTCACCTACCAAGGACATCACTCCAGCAATAGTCCTCAGCATATAAATGGGCTGGATTTATTTTGTTGAAAAAACATGAAAAAGCTCCTTTGGCCCCACATTTCCTCTTCTGTCATCTTTCACTGCTCTATGTACAGCAGAACTCTTCAAAAAGAGTGGTTTCTATTTCCACTCTTACATGTTTATTTGTTTAGTCTATCTGGCTTATTAACTGTATTAATTTTTAGGCTAAATGGCAAATACAACTTCAAGGGGCTTCACATTCCCATAGTGGCCTTTAGGGTTCATAGGAAACTCTGTGCAGAAAAAAATAGTTTATGTTTTAGTATATGTGCTACCAAAGTGAGCGCAGAAGTGGTTTATGTTTTAATAAAATCTGAAATCCATCTTAAAGTTCAGTGACAAGATAAAGAAGAGGAAAGAACACATTCAGATGACTTTTTTAAAAAGTGAGATTAACAGTGGTTAGAGCTTTCAGTGTATTTTAAAAATTGAAACCACCCTTTGAAAACGATATTATTACCCCCATTTTATAGATGAAAAACTGAGACTCATGGATTCTAAATCTCTCTCAAGGCTACAGAAGTGGTGAGTGATAGATCTGCATTTGAATGTAGGCATTCTGGCATCAAAGTCCACATCAGCCTCTACTTGTTCAACCTCTTATGCTCAAGTTTGCTTCTCAATATTTTTTCATCTAGAGAAGAGAAACTTGATTTACTGAGGCTCTGGGCTCTGAGGCTCTGAGGCTCTTGTTCATCTAGTATTAGAAATGAGCTAGATTTGCCCAGCACAGGCACGATAGTTTTGTTCTCTCTTGAACAGAAGTTTTACCTCGAATCAACCAAAACTGCTCTTGTCAAGATGACTAGTGATTTCCAATTTGCTAAATCCAGTGTCAACTCTTGTCCTCATCTCACTTGACTTAGCACTGATACAAGGGGGTCACCCTTATCTTTGAAACCCTTTGCTCACTTGGCTCCTGGGACACCATATTCTCAGTTTTTTTTTTTGTACCTATTGGCCATTCCTTATTTCTCTTCACCTTTATGATTTCTGAAAACTTGGGAGTGCCCAAGGGCTCAGTGCTCTGACTTTTCTTTGATACATGCACTCATTACTTAGGTGATCTTTGATCAGATGCTGCTAAATCCTGTCTGTATAATGACAACACACAAATTTACATTTCCATCTGGGAACTCTCCTTTGAGCTCTTTTTAATCTTCATTTATAGGATGGTTTCTATCCCTAAGCCCCTTTGGCTATTGAGTAATATGTTAACAGATCAAATAGTTTTCTAATTCATCTCAGTAAATGCTAAAAATATGTTTTGATAAACTTCAATTTGTCTTTTTTTTTAAAAACAGAGGAATACTTCTATTTATCTTAAAATGGCCTAATATTTAGTGATGAAACATTAGAGGTATTACTACCCCTGGGGGGAAGAAAACAAAACAGAGATGCCAGATGCTACCATTAAAATTTAATATTTTTTAAAGTTTCCATTAAGCAATAAAATTTGAAATAGACATAAGAGTTGTAGCTATTAGGAAGAGATAAAATTATTATAATTTTTAATTTTTATAATTTGATATCCAGAATTTTCCAGAGATCAATTGAAAAACTACTATATTAGTAAAGAATTATGAATGGTTGGATGCAGTAATGGAAGAAATGTTTATGTAAGAAAAAAACCCAGCACTAACCAGTTCAAAAATAGGGTTTTTAAATGATTGTACACCCAATTTCAGCCCAAACTATAAAATATCAGACAAAAGCCTTGATTAGAAATATTCAGAACCTGTGTGAAGGGTACCAGAAGACTTGTGATTATAAGGCAGTAATAACAGTTCAACCAGAATTCTCACCTTATTCAAAGTAAGAGATTTTACACTAGAAAGAAACCCTGGAATAAAATGATAGACTGTATCTATCTTATTTTTGTATCTCTAGTACCCAGTATAGTGCCATATATTAGGCTTTTTCCTTTCCTTATTAACATTTTCTTATTTTACAGACGTTGCAAATTAAAATAACTTCATCACTGTTATAAATGCAATGATCAACACAAACATGACTGAATTACTAAAGTCTATATAGAGTCAAGTTTCAGTCAATTCAACTGTGTCCTTTTAAACACTTTAAAATGTATTATTTAGCATTGTTGCTTAATAGGGCTTTGTTTTTGTTAACACTGCTATCTGTCTAAGGCAAAAAAAATGAAACAAAAAACAACAAAAAAACATATCTAAAAGATAGGGCTCTATCTAATTTAATTGTTTTAGAAATTTTATTTATTTGTTTGACAGAGAGAGAGAGAGAGGGAGAGAGAGCACACAAGCACAGGGAAGGGCAGAAAAAGAGCGAGAAGCAGACTCCCTGCTGAGCTAGGAGCCCAACTTGGGGCTTGATCCCAGAACCCTGTGATCATGACCTGAGCCCACAGCAAGATGCTTAACTGACTGAGCTACCTAGGCACACCATAATTTAGTTTTCTCTTACTTTATGAGTGTCCTCTTCCAAGGTCAATTCATAAAATTGGCCATAAATCAAATTTATAAAACGTTTCAATTTTTTATTTGGTTTTGCTGACTGTTGTACTGATCCTAGCCAAGATCCTTCTGCCCCTCCCCTCATGCCCTCATGCTCACACACTCTCTCTCTCTAAAAATACATAAACAAATCTTTTAAGAAGAGTGATGCTTTTGTTTGTTTGTTTTTAGAGTTACTGAAGGAGCAATGGTTCATGGAAGTATTACTTTGGGTATTTTTTCCACCAAGAGACACAAATGTTTCTGCCAAATTTTTATCCTTGTAATCTGTATTTTAAATAATGGTTTATGGTAAGTGTATTGGTGGGCTTTATAGATTGGCTGCTATTGTGCTGAAGATCAGGGATCATCTTTTTTGGTTTCAAGCATGTTGTGGCTATCTCAAAGATAGCGCCACATCTCTCATTCAGGTGTTTCAAATGTCTCTTAAATTCCCTTAGTATCAAGACTATTTAAAAAACTTGCCATTATTAACTGCCACTCTTACTCCCAATTGGGAACGTAGCTTAAACAGTATTCCATTTTAAAGATGGATAAAGAATTAATACTTTTGGTACTTTCGTGTTATCACGGAACAAAATGTGGTAGAGAAAGAAATAATCAGTGTGGTTCTCTTTTAGAAAAAAGAAATACTTGATAAGTAGAAAGTTCATGTGATTTGTGGGAGCCAATGCTGTTTTGTGAAAAGAAAACAATTTTGTTAATCTCCAGTTTTGTGGGCTTCCATTCACTTGTGGGGGAATCAGAAATTCTAACCCACTTTGGTATTAGCCATGTAAATCAGTTATGGCTGCAGGCTTTGGTAATTTATGTAGTCTTTATGCAGTTGAATTTTAATTGATTAATTATTAATCAATGAATTGTTAATGTATACATTATCTTACTAGAATTTGAAACATAATAGACTGGAACAGATCGATGTTAATTATTTAACTGTTTGATAGCTCTGTTTGTATTTTCCTGTCAGTTCAACAGCAGCAACCAATCAGTTGGGTCCATTTAGTTTATGCAGCTTAAGATTTTTCTAAAATAGATTCTCCTGTTTTATGTATCTTTCTCCTCATAGCAAGATCAAAACAGCACTGAATGCATTGTCAGATCAACTTTGGCAATGAGGCAATAATTAATACAGGGAGGACAGATTAGATTTAGATACGAACTAGCTGCAAAAATATCAAACAAAGATATTTCAAATTAACTCTGGAAATCAGTCTCAATGATTACTCATGGCTAGATAGCTTAAGAACAGAGTATTCTTTGCTCTGAACAGATTAGTTTGTACTCTTTATTAATTTGACCTAGAATTAGTCAAGCTCTCTTTCATATCTGCCCCAGCTGACTCATCCATTAGGCATAGTGGGCACATTATGAAGGGCCCTTGATGATACTTCTAGAGGCCAATGAGATATTTTATTTTAAAATCAGAAGAAAAAAATGAATATGATCCAGTCTGGACTATATTTGTCTTTATAACAGCATAGTAGTAAAAATAGAATTTTTAATATTTTTTATAGAGGAAGAGGCCTACAAAGGCAAAAGTGTCAAGAGGCCATGGAAGTCACAATGTGACCCTACAAGACCATAAGACTATTTTTTCCCCATTTAAAATTTTCTCCTGTAATTCAAGAATAGTCCATTTGCTTTCTCTTTGTCTTTTGTCTTCTACAATCCAGAGCCATCTATGTACACTGAAGGAATTACACATTTGAAGGTGTACATTTGAGGTAAGTTCATCACACTGGGGAACGTGAATATTGACATCATTACCTCCAGGGCCTTGCACTTATTAACATTAATACATGATAGTATACTATTAGGCTTACCTATATTTGAGGATCTCTAAATCAATATTTTAAAGTGGAGGTAAACATTTCCAAACTATAGTTAGATGTGCTAAAAATGAATTACATTTTTAATTTTTTGGTAACTGTTCTGATTTTGATCTGAAGCCCCCATTTCCATGGTGGGGAAAGAGGTCCAATTACAGAGAGAGACTTTACCTAGCCAATTATACAGGTAATTCCATCTATTTGAACTCAGTGATATCTTTTGGATAAATGTTCAGTCTCTCAGATTCCTCTTTCCTTCTCGTTCCTGGAAGCATTTGGATTAATAACTTTCAACCTCAATTTGGGAGAGGGTTACTGCCTCTGTTTTTGGAACACTATTTGCTAGAGATGAGGGGGTATGGGAGACATGTGGCCAGGTTAGAAGGTTGAGGCTGGTAGTATATGCTTATATTCTTCCTACTTAGATTTTTCTTGTCAGCTATGATGGAGCTGAAATTGCCTCATATATATAAAGAGTATTAAGGTTTAGAAGCAAGCCATCATTTTTCTCTCTATAAAGTGTACTTTCAGGATTCAAAAAAAGAAAAAAAAAGAAAAAGAAAAGAAAATAGCTTTGGGCCTTGAAGCTGACCAAAGATGTTTTAGTTCTAGGCTGTATGCTCCTCCCCTCCTATAACAATAAAACAAATGTTTTGGTCTTAATAACCAAAGGGGTTTGGTGAAAGAAACCTGTTTAAGGATAAGAGAAGATGACTGAATAGGTAACTGCATGTTTTAGCACAGCAGTTAAGAGGATACACATTCAAGTCAGATAAAACTGGGCTGAAGCCCCAGTTTCCCCATTTATTGACTTTGTCACCTTAAGAATATTATTTGACATGTCTGAGCCTTGGTTTCCTCATCTGTAAAATAGGTAATGAAGTTTTTTCAAATGAGGAATAATTAGTTAATATATGTAAAGCATTGTGTATTTTATATGTAACAAACATGTAAGTGGTAATTGTAAAACAGATTTCAGAGTTTGTTTGCAAAGGGAAAAAAAAGAATATGACATTAGATGGAGGCTAGAACTATTTAGGCTGTTATGTATGGATATTTCAGGTTACAAGGAAAGAAACATGTTCCTAATAGTCCCTCTAATAAAATTCTGTGTAAGGGTATGTGAGGAACTGCAGGATAAAGGGAATAGGAAGTGAGAAGACCAGGAATCACAAAAGTCCTAGTGAGGTCTGGCTGTGTGGTAATCTGACTGAATTTACTGTCTGCAATCTCAAAGATCCTATCTAATAGAGAAATACATGCTTAAAAATTAGTTCATTCTAGTTCATCTATATTGCTAACAAAGTCAAGTGCAGTAAGATTGAGCTGATTAATGTTGTAAATAAATGAGAGGTGACAAGATGATTTTCTCCTATCCCCCTACTTTTCACTCAGGTGGTGAATGGAAAGTTCTTTATGAGACACAACTGGAACTGAATGAACAACTAGAAAAGCAAATTGTTTCTCTGGAAGAGAAAATGGAAAAAAATCCCTGGAAATCCTTCAGTACCAAAGCTACTATGTATATGTTTTATAAATTGAGTTAAAAGTGATAAAATATTTTTTTAAGATTTTTATTTTATTTATTTATTCATAGAGTCAGAGAGAGAGAGAGGCAGAGACACAGGCAGAGGGAGAAGCAGGCATCATAAAGAGAGCCTGATGTGGGACTCCATCCAGGGTCTCCAGGATCACGCCCTGGGCTGCAGGCGGAGCTAAACTGCTGCGCCACCGGGGCTGCCCCAAAAGTGATAAAATATTGTTCATATTTGTTTTGTTGTAGATAGATTGTCTTCTATCCATGTCTATGAACAAATGCCAGTGGTGAGTAAAGACTGGTTTAACTAAAAGAATAATTGAAGGAAAGAAATTATGTATTTCTTTTTTAGATAGGTTCCAAAAAAAAGTTTAAAGACTGTTGAAAATTCCAAATAAAATATTTTGTTCAGTGGAACTGTTTCTAGGAAGTAAGGAATCCTATAGCAGATCCTTCAACTTAATCTCCCCCTTATAAAGCTGGGCAGGGTTGCAGGTACAAACAAAATGAAAAAAAATTGGAAGAAAAAGAATCTCAAATCTCAATAGTCAGTCCAGGTGGAAAATGTTTCTACTTCCTGCAACCTAAAAGAGCCTATTAAACACAGAAATATATATCATACCTATTTAAAAACATTTCCATTCTATTTCCTCTGGAATATACATATACACATGTATAGATACACACACACACATTCACATTCACACACACATACACATAATGTATAAAATCCAACAGAGAACCTATAAAATTACCCTATCACATGAAAAAAACAAAACAAAACCCTTATTGGATGATTTACCTAATTTTCTTTGGGCTGCCCTTTCCTCCTGATAAGTTACTTAAATTTATATGTTTCGTACTTTACAAAGCACATTTATTGTTTTTAATTCATTTAAACGTTTGTTTTTTAAAATGTGGAGGAGACATAAAGCATGATTTATGGTGGATTTAGAGTATGCTTGGAAATAGCCTTTTCTTTAGAACTCACACTGAATTTTTATTTCAAGAATATCTAGAAAAACATGGAAATCTTATAAAAATCAAGGGTACTTTATACGAAAATATAAATATAATACTCTGCTAAACTGGCAGAACTACACAACCCCATGAGCTAAAATTTAATATTATTTCCTTTAACACATTTGACACTAAGCTTAAAACAATTAAGTGATTTGATCAGAATCACAGTCTGGAAATGTGGAAATCGATTCTGTTTCTCTAAAAAAACCCATGCCCATTTGACCATACTGTGCTATGCCAACAGCCCTTCTATACTACTTATCAGAAATAACATGTTTTTTAACGTGTTTTATGTAGAGCACTTAACTGACTGCTATATTCACAGAGGTCCTGAGGACCGGAGCGCTACAGAGATTGCTCATTGAATAACTGCAGACCTTTAGTGAAAAATACATAAAATTGTATGTATTCATAAAAATACATACAAAAAATACATAAAAATGATCATAAATCAGGAGAGAAATAACCTATTTTGTACACCTCTGTCATTTTCAACTCAGAAATTTGTCTCGCAAAGTCAGGAAAAATCATGGAGTTATATCCCCATCTTGTGGTACTTAGAAATCACTGCAAGGGTTATTTTAGGCCTTGTCTTTCTTTAACTATGGATATAATTTTAGTTCTACCTATAAAATATAAAATATAAAATACTACCTACAGAGCATAAAATATTCTGATTCTCAGTTGCTTGATAACTCATCCTCAGTGCTAGCTCAAAAAATTGGGTATCACCAGCCTTATGGAGAATAGCAGCAAGTGCTGGTGTGACATGGTATGATACTTTATAGCATACATAAGAAGCATTTGATTGGTTTCCTCACAGCTGCCTCAGACTGTAACATACTCATGTTGACAAAATTCTTTCTTTTTATGAATTTGTGTTATTCTTGAAAAAAAAATGTGGTTCTTTAAGAGGTTTAGATCCGGAGGCAGAGAATTCTATTTCTCTTCAGTAAAGGACTAAAGAAACGTTAGAAAAACTAAGAGCAGGGTCATGTACCAAGCAGAAAGGAAAGATAATGAAAGTTCAGGCTCTTAAGGAACTGGTTCTCTTTATTCTCTAGGCAGATGCATGTATGAGTATCTGGTTTTTCTTACACAGGGGAATCGGGAGGAGTCTGCATAAACAGCAGGGATTAGGAATCTAGCCTAGGAGCTGGTGGTGGAAGTCGCCAACTACCAAACAAAAAACATTGGGATCCAAGGATCCTATATCCAGTGACGAAATGTTTTATTCAAGGACAGAAGATAGTATACTAAGCCTTATTCTTTATATAAAAACAATATTTATGAAATTCAAATGCATACTCTTTATGGAATGCAGACAGTTTTGACTTTCTATTAAGGTTGATAATTAGAGAAAGATTTTGAACTTCTTGGGAGTGATAGAATATGAATTCAAACACTACTTGTAAATTTACTGATTCTTTATCCTTGTTGGGGTTGGCACAGTGGCTCCTCCAGGCTCCTGACTTGACTTTCCACTCTGCCATCCTTTAATGAGTGGCTAATGCTCACAAGATGACTGCTTCACTTTCTTTTTCATAGAAAGAAGTAGGTGAAGGGCAAAGGGCAAACAAAGGTGAAGGCCAGTCAAATTTGCTTTCTTTCAAAGCATTTTCTAACACTGCTGTACCCAGAGTCTCCCCTTATATCTCATTGCTTAGAACTGCATAATATGGGCACCTGGGTGGCTCAGTGGTTGAGCACCTGCCTTTGGGATCAGGTCTTGATCCCGAGGTACTGAGGCACTGAGATGGAGTCCCACATCTGGCCCCCCATGGGGAGCCTGCTTCTCCCTCTGCCTATGTCTCTGTCCCTCTCTGTGTGTCTCTTCATGAATAAATAAATAAAATCTTAAAAAAAAAAAGAGAGAACTCTATCATATGGCCTCCTGTATCTGCAAGAAAGGCTGGAATATTTAGTGTTTTACTGAGCATAGTAGTAGGAAGAAGGGTAGAATGAATACCTGTTATGCAATTAGCTCTATTTGCCACACAAAGGCACTTTCAATGAGTACTATTTCACTTATTTTTTAAGATTTAGAGAACTCAAGTAAGGGTGAGGAGGAAGGGCAGAGGGAAAGGGAGAAGCAGACTCTCACTGAGCAGGGAGCATGACTTAACAGGGGGCTCCATCCCAGGACCTTGAGATCCTGGCGCCCCAGTACCATTTCATTTTAAAGTTATATATATTCATTTAATATTATTTGAAAAATAAAAGACAAAGATAAATATTAAGTCAAACATATCTACTGCTGACTCTTTTTTTAAAGTTTTGCATGCAAATATATTAAAAATTACAAACCAATAAATAAACGAACCCCAAGAAAGGTACAAATAAGGACAGCACTTTAAAAGATATATATATAATTTTAACCCTATTTCATGGACAATTTTGTGTCCTGTACTAATCATGGACAATTAAACCAATAATTTCTTGTGTTATATTTTCTTCATGTATATTTTTAAGAGCTACATTATATTTTATTGGATTATGAATGTTCAATTCCTTTTCCCTATAATTGAATATTTTAGGTTATTTGTGGTTTTAATTTTGAATAAAATAAAACCCACAGAGGATAATATGGCAAACAATACATTCTAGTATTAACAAATCTTTAATTTTTGTCACTTTTTGATTTCAGATATTTTAATGAAAACAGTGTATAGAGTTGAGGACCCTTTTGTTCCTCTTCCTATCTCTTTATTAGGCAAGTATGATCATGGATTTGGTATACATCATTCCAATCTATTTTTAAATACCTTCCTGCAGATATGTCTAAAAATGCATGTAAAAACATCATATTGTACATATCATTCTTTTTATTCTGTCCATGTTATAATACATAAAGATCTGGTAAATTTTATTTGCTACATAGTCTTCTTCTATCTATATATCTTTATTAATTAATTAACTTATTTATTTATTCCCCTATGAAGATTTTTCAAAATCTCACTGTGACAAACATTGCCACAGGGAACATACTTATACATGTCTCCTGATATAAAGTATTCCTCCAGAATTGGCTAACTTTTCTGTAGAGAGCTAGGTAATTAATACTCTCAACTTTGCAGGCCATATGATCTCTGTTGCAACTATTTGATGCTGCTGTTGTAGTGTGAAAGGAGTCATAGACAATATCTAAATAAATAGGATTTTATTCTAACAAATGTTGGCTTACAAAAACAGACTGTGACTGGATTTGGTTTTCAGGCTGTAGTTTGCCAGCCCTTGGGTTAGGGCAGTGGTCCTTAAACTTTCCTAAGGTAACAGAATCATGTAGGGAACTTCATAAAAATACAAAGGCCAGGCTTCTCCCCCCCCCCCTTTTTTTAAGGATTTCATTTATTTATTCATGAGAAACACAGGGAGAAGGGCAGAGACACAGGAAGCAGGAGAAGCAAGCTTCCTACAAGGAGCTTGATGTAGGACTCAATCCCAGACCCCAGGCCCCAGGATCACATTCTGAGCCAAAGGCAGATAGATGCTCAACCGCTGAGCCACCCAGGCATCCCCAGCCAGCCCTATCCTTTAAACAGCTTGCCAATTCTGAGTTCTTTATTAACTCTCCAGATAATTTAGATATACACCAATTTTGAGAACAACTGCTCTAACATACATAGAGTGAAAGTTTTAGAACATGGTATATGCACATTTTCAAATAATGATAGAATCCCTCTAAATCAATCTAAAGACACCCCAGGTCTATAGTTAGGTCTCTAATAAGTAAAAGAGATGATGATGGGAGATAAGACTGGAAATATAAGCAGGGCCTTGATAACAAGGGATTTTATATGCCTATGAACCTCTTTATGTGATGAGAAACTTTTTTTTTTATGGGACACATAAAAAAGTATTTAATAGAAGTTTAAGTCTTTCCCCCCATGGAGAAAGGCTTCCCCAGGGTGAGTGAGATTTGAGGCAGAGAAACCAGATAGGACGCTTTTGTAGCAGTCCAGGTACAGGAAGGTAAGTTGTTCAGCTTGGACAGTAGTATATGGGGATGGAGGCAATGTGACAGCTTGAAGAGATATTTGAGAATGTGGATTTTGTGAGTATGTGGATGCTTAGGTGAGACTGGGAGAGGATTGGAGGGAGATTAAGGACTCTCTCTTGAACAATGATTACAGCCAACAGCATTGTAGGCATCAGAAGTAGGCAGAATGTTAGGAAATGAGTTTAGTTTTGTATGCATTACACAAATCATAGTGATCAGCCACCTGGACATGGTTTTAGACTATGGAAAGTTGTCTCTCTGAAA